GCTCTTCCCGCATGCACTATTCTTCATAATCTAGCAAGCTCACCGGAAACACACACACCTGACATCCTTACGGCTTACATCCATCGCTTCCCTGCCTGCTTGCACAGCCTACCCAGCGCCTCGCTCTACTGCAGCCTTGCGCCGCCCAGCCTGTTGCCATGGCGAGCGAACAGGCACACAGTGGTCCTTCAAGACCACGGGCCCCAACCATCACCATCGACACGTCTGCTGCCAGCGACGCCAACATGAGCAATCCCGTGCCTCTGGCCGATATCCAGGACGACAGCCACAGATTCTCACCAAACGCCACCTCCGACAACCCATCGCCCACCCAGCAAACATCATCCTCGCAGGAGCTGCGCGGCACCAATTCTTTTGAAAGTAGAGAGAGCAGGCCCACGAGCCCCCATAATGTCAGCTCGCCCGTCGCAACGTGGACCAGCAATGCTGGCCTACTCAATGTTCCAGGCGCTCGCTCAAGGGGCAACTCGATGGATTCGGCTACCGACAATGGCGAATCTAACAGTTCAGGTACATATGTCGCCTCCTCGCAGGGCGATGCCTTCAAGGGAGAGCTAGCACCCACCGAAGTCTTGAACGACCAGGATGCCTTGAAACCAGATCCAGGCACAGAGGCAGACTTTGTAGTTGAAAACAACAAGTTTGCCTTCTCACCCGGCCAGCTGGCCAAGCTCTACAACCCCAAGAGCGTAAGTTTGGTTGTCTCTGACCAATCTCCTCACCGTGCTAACCACCCCTCAGTTATCAGCCTTCCATGCTCTCGGAGGCCTTGACGGCTTGGAAAAGGGTCTTCGGACCGACCGAAAGGCCGGACTAAGCATCGACGAGCAGCACTTGGACGGTGTAGTCACATTTGAAGAAGCAACGACGCCAAGTACTACCGAGACTACGCAAAAGTCATCACCGAATGCCGGTGCGCATACCGACAGCGCACCCACTGGCTCCAAGGAAGATGCTTTCGCAGATCGAAAGCGCGTCTTTAGTGACAACAGACTTCCGGTCAGGAAGCCCAAGAACATCTTTCAGCTCGCGTGGATGGCCTACAACGACAAAGTCCTCATTTTGCTGACATGCGCCGCTGTCATCTCACTTGCTCTCGGTCTATACCAAACTTTTGGTGTCGAGCACAAGCCAGGCGAGCCAGCCGTAGAGTGGATTGAAGGTGTTGCCATTATTGTTGCCATTGTCATTGTTGTCGTAGTTGGCGCTGCCAATGACTGGCAAAAGGAGCGTCAGTTCGTCAAACTTAACCGCAAGAAGGAAGACCGAACCATCAAAGTCATTCGCTCCGGAGCCACTCGCGAAATCTCCGTCTACGACATCTTTGTCGGAGATGTTGTCAATCTAGAGCCTGGTGACATGATCCCCGTCGACGGTATCCTTATCCAAGGTCACGGAATCAAGTGTGACGAATCTTCGGCCACTGGAGAATCTGACTTGCTCAAGAAGATGTCTGGCGACGAGGCCTACAAAGCCATTGAACGACATGACAACCTCAAGAAGGTCGATCCATTCATCCTCTCCGGTGCAAAGGTCTCAGAGGGCGTGGGTACATTCATGGTCACGGCTACAGGTGTACACTCCAGCTACGGCAAGACCATGATGTCTCTTCGCGAAGACAGCGAAGTCACACCGCTCCAAAACAAGCTCAACGTGCTCGCAACATACATCGCCAAACTCGGTGGAGCTGCGGCTTTGTTGCTTTTCGTCGTGTTATTCATTGAGTTCTTGGTCAGGCTCAAGGGTAGCACTCATACGCCGGCCGAGAAGGGTCAGAACTTCCTCAACATTCTCATCGTTGCCATCACGGTTATTGTCGTTGCTGTGCCCGAAGGTCTTCCGTTAGCTGTTACCCTTGCATTGGCTTTCGCCACTACGCGTATGCTCAAGGACAACAATCTAGTCCGCCTCCTCCGGTCTTGCGAAACCATGGGCAATGCCACTACCATTTGCTCCGACAAGACTGGTACGCTCACTCAGAACAAGATGACTGTTGTTGCTGGCTCCCTCGGAACTGCTCTCCGCTTTGGCGACTCTAAACTCAAAGCATCCTCAGTGTCCCCAATTGACGATGGAGCTAAGGGCAAGGACGTATCTCAGTCTCCTGTTGAGAATCCCAACGATGTCTCTGCCACGGAATTCGTCGAGACTTTGAACCGTGATGTCAAGGACCTACTTCTGCAATCCATTATCCAGAACACGACCGCTTTTGAAGGCGAGACTGGAGGTCCCGATCCTTTCATCGGCTCTAAAACCGAGACAGCCTTACTCGGATTTGCACGCAATTACCTGGGATTGGGCAATGTTGCCCAGGAGCGCGCCAACGCCAACATCGTCCAGGTGATCCCCTTCGACTCTGCAATCAAGTGTTCTGGCGCCGTCGCTAAACTAAGCGATGGTCGCTACCGTATGTATGTCAAGGGTGCTTCCGAGATTCTGCTCGCAATGTGCGACAAGATCGTCACCGATGCCAACAAGGAACTTATGGAGGCTCCCATGACTGCCGACAACCGTGAAGCACTCGAGCACATCATCACAACTTACGCATCCCGCTCTTTACGAACCATCGGCCTCATTTACCGTGATTTCGAGAGCTGGCCGCCTGCTGAGTCGTCCAAGAACGAGGATGACCCGACCCAAGCTGTCTTCAAGGATGTAGCCAAGAAAATGACCTTTCTGGCTGTCGTCGGTATCCAGGATCCTCTGCGAGACAACGTTCGTGAGGCTGTAAAGGACTGTCAGCATGCTGGTGTTTACGTTCGTATGGTTACCGGTGACAATGTCATGACTGCCAAAGCCATTGCCGAAGATTGTGGAATCCTGGTCCCTGGCGGTGTTGTCATGGAGGGCCCTACTTTCCGTAAACTGTCAAAGCGTGACATGGATGCCGTCATTCCCAAGCTCTGTGTTCTTGCCCGATCCAGCCCAGACGACAAGCGCAAGCTTGTCAAGCGCCTCAAAGAGCTCGGTGAGACAGTAGCTGTTACTGGTGACGGAACCAACGATGCACCCGCGCTCAAGACTGCCGATGTCGGTTTCTCCATGGGAATTGCGGGCACCGAGGTTGCGAAAGAAGCTTCTGCCATCATTCTCATGGACGACAACTTTGCTTCCATCGTAAAGGCGCTGCTTTGGGGTCGTGCTGTCAATGACGCTGTCAAAAAGTTCTTGCAGTTTCAGATCACAGTCAACATCACGGCTGTACTTCTCACCTTCGTCTCCGCTGTTTCCAGTGACGACCAGCAATCTGTACTGACTGCTGTCCAACTGCTCTGGGTCAATCTCATCATGGATACCTTTGCTGCTCTGGCGCTCGCAACTGATCCTCCCACTCGCAGTCTTCTTGACCGCAAGCCTGACCCTAAATCCGCACCTTTGATCACGTTGCGCATGTGGAAGATGATCATCGGGCAGTCGATTTACCAGCTGGTTGTTACCTTTATCCTCTTCTTTGCCGGCGAATCTATGCTCAGTTACCAAAGCCCACGTGAGCAGCAGCAATTGCCTGCTTTGGTGTTCAACACTTTTGTCTGGATGCAAATCTTCAACGCTCTCAACAACCGCCGCCTCGACAACCGCTTCAATGTATTTGAAGGCATTACCCACAACTGGTTCTTCATCATCATTTTGCTCATCATGATTGGAGGTCAGACTATGATTATATTTATCGGTGGCGAAGCTTTCAAGGTTACGAGACTCAACGGCCCTCAATGGGGCTACTCAATAGTGTTGGGCTTCCTGTCTCTACCGGTCGGTGTCATTGTTCGCTTGATACCTGATGAGCTTATCAGGAAATGCATTCCCGACTTCTTCAGGCGCAAGCAAACTCCTGAGCTTGTCGTTTCAGATGACGACTACTATTGGAATCAAGGACTGCTGGAGGTTCGCGATGAACTTGCCTTCCTCAGAAAAGTTCGTGGCGGCCGTCTCAGTGCTATCAAGTTCAAGGTGCAACATCCCAAAGAAATCTTTACCCGATCACGATCGAGTCACTCTCTACCCGGTACTCCTAATAATGGCGCCCAAACTGACGACGGCTCTCATGCCCCACCTACTCCCAGCAGTCGTCGCCGGGCCAGGTCCCGTTCCAATTCCGCTTTTGGTCCGGCAACTGTCATGGCTGGTATCGTTGCAGGCAGCATCGGGGGCTGGTCACCGATTGACCGCGGCAGTGGTGACAACGACTCCATCAAATTCAGCCGCAATGCTACGAAGCAAGATCTCGAGGCTCAAGATGGCATCGAAGTCCATCCTGACACTACGTCGACCGATCCCATCCTTGCTCCTGACGCAAGTGAGTACCGCGGTCCTCCCAGCCAGAACATAGAAACCACACCAGATTTCAACGTAGGGCCTTTCTCCAGTCACGCCGGTGAACAATCCAAACCAACTGGCCCTGGCACATAGAGCCTAATTCTCTCCTACGTCCTCAAAACTCCACACATACATACATGTATACCTCGCGCGAACCTCTCCGTAGCTTGGAGACTCGGGTGTAATAACTCTTCATTCCAAGCAGCATATATTTCAAGCATTCATCGGCGTCACAGGCGTTTTTTCTTTCTTGGCCCTAAGGGCTCGGCGATGTCGTAAATACCCATATCCCCTTATTCATGTTGCTTGGTCGTCCCTGCGCCGGCTATTCTGTTATTCAAGGCTCTCTTTGTGCTTTACCCGTCCATAGAAAACTTCTCGGCCACCAGTTTCTTTTTTTTCTTCTTTCTCACAGCCGCTTAGCACTGGCTCCAAACATCCGGTACTCCTGCCATGTGCCCTGAAACGACCCAAAAAAGCTCAAACAATACATTTCATATCACAAAAGTTTTGCTTTATTCTTGCCACGTGATGATCTCATGCGCATTGCTGATCAGAGTCGAAATGGGCAGTGTTAAGGCTCATTCCTTACAAAGCATTCAGAGTTTGTCGGCGCTTATTCGGAAGGTCAAGACAGACACGACGTCATCTTGGCAATTGCATCAGCACCGCATCCAGCAACGATCAATGTGCCGGCTCTGTATACAAACGTTGATTGACTTCCATCGTCTGAAGTAATCCTTCTTGTGATATTCCGAATATATTGTACATATTCTTTCCTCATTTTCGTGATTCTATCTAAGCAAATATTGTTTAGCAACTACTACCATAATGACACACAACGTCCTCTTAATCGGCGGCCACGGCAAGGTTGCTCAGCTTCTCACGCCCCTTCTCTTAGCGAAGTCGTGGAATGTGACAAGCATGATTCGTTCTGCTTCACAGCGACCCGCCATTGAGAAGCTGGGTCAGGGCCAGCCAGGCAAGCTAAGTGTGCTTGTCAGCAGCGTTGCAGATGTCCAGGATGAGAAAGAAGCAAAGACTATTTTGGATCAGGTGAAACCTGACTGGGTTGTATGGAGTGCTGGTATGTTCATATTTCATTCCCTTTGATTTCTCTGGCTAGTATTTCAACGAAACGGGGCCTTCGGAGGGATATGGACACATTCTGACCACGTGGTAGGCGCTGGAGGGAAAGGCGGCGCAGAAATGACCTTCGCGATCGACCGCGACGCAGCCATTGCCTTTACAAAAGCCAGCACTCACACATCTTCTGTCAAAAAGTTTCTCAATGTATCTTACCTTGCCTCCCGCCGTGCCCGCGCACCCTGGTGGAACGACGAGGACTGGGATTCTGCACAAAAAGTCAACAACGAGATTCTACCGAGCTATTACAAAGCTAAAGTTGCAGCTGATGAGGTTCTTACTGTCTTGTCCAATGATCGTTTAGCAAAAGAAGAAAAGGAGGGCGTGCCAGCTAACGAGCGCTTCTGCGGTATCAGTTTGAGACCTGGTACGTTGACTGAGGAGCCAGCTGGTAAAGTAAAGATGGGCAGGATTGGAGTTGGAGAAAAGGTCAGCCGTGCGACGGTTGCCGAGGTGATAGTTAGAGCCCTGGAAAAAGACGGTTTGAAGGGATGGCTTGATTTTGTTGATGGAACAGACGAGATTGATGGGGCGCTCGAAAAGTTTGTCAAAGAGAAGCAGGACAGTGTTGAGGGTGAAGATCTAGGAGATATGAGGGCAAGGGTTGAGAACGTCTAGGCATGCGAGAAGACTGTCATACATTCCCTGTGTTCGACAGAAACAGATGCGCTGCAGACCAAACGCCTGATGCTTATGAATCATGCCTGAAAACCGTTCTCTTCGCGCCTGATATTCCCCTTCGATCCAGCACCTGTCCTGTCGAATGCTTCACTCTGGGAGTATTTACTATGATATATCACTCGTATGCTAGCATAGACAATTCATGAACAGATTGTGATCTAAGTAGAGTCAAGTCGCCGCTTCTGCACAGAGCGGCTTACGTAAAGAGACTGTAGCGCCTTGGCACTCTCTCACAGTACGTCGCAGGCCGCGACGCGACACGACCATCACACCGTCACTTTTGGTTGCGATATCGCTCTTGAACCATTGATCATTACTTATTATCGCAAATAATAGAAGGACGCACGTTCAGCATGTATGGATCAGTAAAATGCAAATATTTGTGAGCCAGCACAAAGCTAGAGCCACCCTCCGCAACATCAATAAGAATCATGTCGAAGTCCGCATCACATCCGCAACAGGCCCAAGTGCAGAAAGTGTGCACCCTATGGACGCATGACGACAACTTCTCAAGAGATGAAATCGTATTCAACAGCGAGAAATTTCCCGAGGTCCCTACCGGTGCTGGTTCCTTGCTTCAGATAGTAGCCATCCAGGAAGACAACGCCATTCGCAATTTCCATGCAGGACCGAAGAGCGCACAGCATGATAGCGCACAACACAAACACGATGCATCTTCTAGAGATGTTCACAATCATAGCCATCCGAGGAGACATCGTCGAGACTCGAACATGATAACCCTCGATGAGAATGGATCGACTGTTCCCGGTGGCCGCGACATCGACGCGGACAAAGCCTATGTGTTTGTCCCAAAACCTCTTTCTCCAGACTTGAAGTCAAAGTATCCGAACCTGCAGGTATGTGGCATCTGATATTGGCACCAGTCACGACTGACCTAGCCAAGGTTTCTATATCCGAACGCATTGCCAAGGTATTCGGATTCCGCAATAGGATGCAAGTTGTGGTGACCGAGGCTGATGAAGATCTACATGAAGCCCATCATGTAGAAATCGTATTTCGTGATGAGTATCTCGCACGCGCAGATATGTGGCGCATGGCAATCTCCGAGCTCAGCAAACGTACCGTTTACCGGGGCCAGAGGCTACTGTTCATGGGGACCATCAAAGCTACTATCAAGCACATCTACATCAATGGCCAGTCTGTCCATTCAGGCTATTTTTCGCCAAAGTCGAAACCCATATTTCGCAGCGAGTCGGCACGTTACACCCTATTTATCCAGATGTCTCGGGAGATGTGGGACTTTGATACTGAAGGCGCTGGAGAGATCATGTTTAACAAAGTTGTCAGCGGCTTCCTCCCGGATCTTTTCAAAAGATGGTTGAGAATCAACGCACGACATCTTGTCACCATCATCCTCTTTACTCGAATGCAATACGACAGCGAATTAGTAGCTGATCATCTTGAGGGAGCGACAAGCGACACGCACTTTGATTCGCATTCGGGCACTTTCAGAGATTACTATCGGGTCGTTGTGAGCGACATAGCTAGTGGTGACTGGATCAACATCTTGTATCAGCTCAAGAAAGAGTTTAGAATGTTCCTTCGCGAAGTGTCTCTTGTGCGCAAACCAGTAAAGCAAGTCGCGAACAAAGATGATGCAGGTGTGGATGGTTCAATGTCTGAATTCGTCGTTGCTGGAAGACCATCATCTGCAAGTCAAGGCAACATTCTTGAAGCTATCAACCTAGCTGCAGCTCAGTTTTCCAAAGACTACATTGATCGCGACCTCGTTCGAACAGGTATCTCTGTCATAGTCGTCAGCCCTGGCACAGGTGTTTTCGAGGTGGACTACAACATGCTCAAACTGACCACAGATACACTTATTGGATCAGGCATCGGCATCGACTTGGTGTGCCTCTCACCAATGCCACTTCATTCCGTACCTCTTTTCAAGTATCAAACTCCTCGCTCGGTTTCCGACTTGAAAGCTGAGCGAGAGAAACACCATGCACCTGTAGGAATATCGCGGACTGAAGAGGACAAAACTCCCCGCCAGAGTCAGCCTATTTTTGGTTCCGTTTCTCGCACCTCCACCATGCAGCACATATCGATAGACGATTCCGCAGAAGCTACAGACAACTGGAGATTCGCAATGCCATATTGGGTGGATATCTCTTTCTGGTCCGGCACTTCTGAAGAGATCTTGGAGCTTACAAAACCTCGAAAAGCCGACAAAATTGTGAAGAAGTCTCGAAAAAAGGGTCGCATCTTCTCCCTCAGATGTCGTCTTTTCGAACTCCAAATGATGGGTGTTATGGAAAATGAAATGGGAGACGTTGCTATTCCGTATCTGGAAGAAGATCCAATGTACCCATACCATCTGCGTGAATCGTTCGACCGAGACGAGGATGACCAGAAGATAGTCACTGTAGCCAAACGCTCAACTACCAGACCAAGCTCTTACTCTTCAAGAGGGGACAAAGAGCATGGGAATGACCAACTAGACGAAGGTAGAACTGCGTACAAGAACTGGATGGAAGCATATGACAATGGCGTGTTCTCTCCAATCATGGAAAGACACTCTGTATCAGAGTATCGAGCACATCAAAGAAGGCTGAGCGACCAGCTATCCAGTGGCTCACCCAAACTATCCAGGAGTTTTCAACTTTCTTCTTCATTCCGCAGTGTTGGCCCGTCGATTCCTAAAACCGCCCGTCCGCCACCTGAAAACAACTTCCCACAACTTATGCGCGAGAAGACAAAAGAGGTTGAGAGTCATTCTCCCCGTGGTACTGTCTATCGCATGTCTGACCACAAAGTCGAAGGCATGCCGCGTGCTGACATCCTGCAACGGCAAAAGAACTTGGCAAGAGGCAGTGTCAGTATGGGGCGTCCAGTATCACACAAAAGAGGGGATTCTGATGAGTCTCAAAGCCATCGTCCTTCCGTGCAGGCCACCCCAAAGCACTCTCCTGCACCCAGCCGAGGAGTGTCTCCTTCGAGGCGAGCCGGTCTCCCTCCTCTCACTGGCGCGGCAACCACCACTTCAACCAAGGCTGAGATAAAAAGTAGACCTTCCAACTGGTTTTTACGACAGATGAGTTTCGGTGGAAAAGCAGCGCCAGCCAAACCAACCCTCGGAGACGCTACCATCGATATTAGCCAAGGCAAGGTTAAACCTGCCATGCTGACCGTTGAGAATAACCAAAAGGGGGTCATTGCCGAAAGGTTGGCTAGCACTCGCCACACGTCTACGGAGAAAGCTTCGCAGCCTATTGCCATCAAACCCGCATCACGCGCCGGTCCTGTGTCAGCTGAGTCGCTCGCTTCTGACCAAGCTAGTCGTTCTATTGAGACTGTCAGAGGTATGCGATTCAACAAACCATCTATTCCTTCCCAATCTAGCTCAGCCGTTCGAGACCCAGGGTCCACGTTCCTTCTTGCGGGTGCTCGCGGGACCGGGGAGCATGTTGGACCGAAACCAGATCTGTCTTCTAGCGGAGGTGCTAGAGACGTTCCACGAACCTTGTCCCCTACAAGTGCCATCTCGCCCTGGGCAGTCTTGGTCAATCCTTGTAATCCCAAAAAGAATAACATCAACTCCAAAAATCAATATCGGCGGTGGCATCACGTCTTCCCCAGAACGCTAAGAACAGGTACCGTGAAATGGAGGTCGTTGTGCTCGCCTGCCGCTGTCCCTTTGACTCATGAGTGGTTTCCTACTGTCGAACAAGTCACATCGGAATACAATGAGAGCCCATACAAGATCACACAAAACGAAGACGATGATATGCCGGAGGCTCCAAAGAGCAGGGAGTCCCTTATCAAGGAGCTTATCGCTTTTCGTCTTTCTCACGGATTTCAGATTGTTGTGGGCTCTTCTGTTGCAGAGTTTTCAGGGCGACAAGAGAAAACCCTCGCTAGCATTCTAGCACCTGAATACATGTCCAACGATGGAGATACCGTTTTTATGAGCGTGGGAAATAGCATACATCAACTAGTTTGTGTAGCAGGTGGAGAAGTAGAGGTAAGACGCTACAACCGAAAGCCCACAACAGCTTTGGAATCCTCCGCCGGCGTAGATAAGCCTTTTCCGTATCGACCCTACATCCGTACAGCTTTCGAAGACACCTATGACCCCAGAGATGTAATCCTACGGCCACCGCGAAGGGAGTACAATTGGAATATCATCGATACATTCTTAGCTGGCTATCATGATGAGTTTTCTGAGATCCTACGCTTTTGGAGAGCGCGCTTCGTCTTGATTCCTGTTGAGATACCGGCAGTGCATAGGCGGCCACTTCCAATGCTTACTGAAGACTCCGAAGAGGAGATCCGTTTAGAAGGGATCCGAAAGCTCACGCAGCTGTGGCAAAAATTTCGTTTCATATCTCCAGAAGAGCGTTATTCCCAGCCCTCTTATGCTTCGAAACAAAAAGATCCAAATCCCCTTGCAATTGAATACCACACTCGCGATCCCTCGGCGGTCGTAGCGGCAGGACTAGGCAACTCTTTACTTGAAGATACGGACAGCGAGTTTCAGACCTCTGTTTTCCCAGACTCTGAGAAATACCATACATCGAACATCGATATTAAGAAGCTTGCAGAAGACTTGCAAGGTGAGAAAGGCATTCAGATGCTTGATCGCCGATGGCACTTGAAACTGCACTACAATTGCTTCTTAGGCTTTGACTTAACCAACTGGCTCCTCTCCAATTTCAAGGACATTGAAACTAGAGACGAAGCTGTCGATTTCGGAAACGAACTCATGCACAAAGGCCTGATTCAGCATGTGCAGCGAAGACATCCATTTCGTGACGGCAACTTCTTCTTCCAGATTGCGGCAGAATATCGGGCTCCTCGAGTCGAGTCGCGAACTGGATGGTTTGGCATGCGAAAGACAGACAAGTCAGTTCCTTCTACGCCACTCTCAGAGGCGCCACGGACATCGCCTTTGATCTCGAAGAGTATCAAGTCAAGACCTAGCACGGGGGATTCATCATCTACAAACTCTGACTCTCCCCAAGAAGGCGAGAAAACCCCAACACGTGCTGAGCCTCCTAAGAGGAAAGTCATCCTGTCTCGCGTTATGCGCTACGATGTGGATCCTAGGAAGCGTTCATACCGCCCTGAGATTATCTCGCTACACTATGATCGTCTACATAACCCTGACAATTGTTACCACATCCGCATCGATTGGATGAACGTAACGGCAAAGCTTATAGAAGATGCTATTGTTACCTGGGCTACAAGCGTAGAAAAGTACGGCCTAAAACTCGTCGAAGTCCCTATCGCCGAGGTAGCAAACATTGTTGACCATCACCCCTTCCGGTCTCCATATCTGGTCAAGCTCGCACTCCAGCCTCCTAGATCCCAGCCGGAGAATATGTGGGACTCAACTAGCTTCTCTCCTCAATACTCTAGGACAGACAAATTTTTGTATCATAAAGCTTTGTTACGGAGGTTGAACTTTGTTCTTGACATGGAAGCTGCCAGCGCATTTCCACCAGACGTGGAAGCAACGTATTCCTGGGGTAACCCAGACTACAAGTACACGCAGTTCATTCATCGCAGTGGAGGACTGCTCGCTCAAATCACCGACGAAGGAAATTTCTTGCTGCTAGCGAATCGCCTTGCACACAATCGTGCCAAAGACAACAGTAGAATCCGCCATGTCGATCCTTATGAGCACAAAAAAGCGACAATGGACGGTAGCCAAAGCAGTCGCATGCCTTCGACACCAGCAGCAGAGCGGGGCAATCCGCATCGTAGTCCCTTTTCCAGTCCCTTGGCTCGACCAGTCCAGGATGCTAGCCTCTTACACACCGCACTCACCAGCCACGAACAGAGATCATCTACAGCCACCACGCCGCACCTCGCAGCTATCACTTCGCTGACCCCCGAACAAGTCAAGGACGAAGTAGAAGCATTCTGCTCCAACATCTCTCTCCTCTCTTCCTTCTATGCCGAAGGACTCCGCCATGCCCCTTCGCCTTCACCACGAATCTTACCAGTAGGCGAGGACAAGATACCAAGTCTAGGCTTACCCCCAGCGATTAGCATTAGAGATGCAAGTCCTGCAGCTGGAGGGTGGACGTTGAGCAGTACGTTTGGAGGGCCTAGTGGCATAGCCGGAAGAAGACAGGGTAGCGAGGGAAGTATGTTCAATCTGGGGAGGCGCGGTAGTGCTTTTGAAGGTATGGAAGGCGGGCCGCGAAGAGAGAATAGTCAGGGAAGTGTTGGTAGTGGTATGTAGACATGTAACAGTGAGGGCGTTTTCATGGGTTGGGGATCCTCTTCCTTTTTTTGTCTTACAAGTTTATTGGGGAAGCCGGTGTCGAGGTTTGTTTGGCATAAGAAAAAGGTACTACACCTGACCCTTACTAGTTTCTAGCTTCATAAAGTCATCAATGGCTCGTTTGGGTATTCTAGAGGATCTCTAAGACCTGTTTTCCATACTTCTTGCGACCAGTGTCAGGCTATTAGGTCATTCGATAGTCGGCATCTTCTATCCTTTTTTGCTGCTTGGGGTTTATCATAGGTAGCAACTGGTGCTTTTGCGCATGTAAGCTACAATTTCTACGAACCTTGACTTCTGTTTACCTTTTTTCTAGTTAGAATCATGTAAACAGACGGTTGAATTTGTTCATTGAAGAATGATAGACTCGACATCAACGAATTGACTAGAAGCATTTGTAAGCAATACTATCATGCTCAACAAGGCATTACTAAACATCGTATACTGCAAATCTAATTATGTATTAAAAAAAATTCCCTGAATTGCTATCAAGGCATGGGATATGCCTTTGCAAACAACTCTCTAATCTGCTCCTCGCCCCACCCCAACGTCAGAGCCAACTGCAGCAAAACCCTCGACTTTTGAGGGTTATAAAATCCACTGGGGATAGTAAAATCGTCATCCCCATTCGGCGGCGGAACCATGCCATCTGGACTCCTATGACTAGCAACAATGGGAATACTAGTAGCATTGTACAGCGCCTCTGCATTTGCATTTGCAGCGCTCGACATACCTCCGGCACCGACACCAGCATACACGATACCCTTTGCGCCGGCATCGTAGCAGGCGGTAAAAAGCGCGGGCAGCATGTCCTGGTGGGCGTACAAGATCGGTACGGGGGCCAGATCGGTAACGTTGGAGACGTCAAAGACGACGCGGCCAACGGGCTCGGAGGGGTGGAAGAAGAAATAGGGCACTTGGTTGATGAAGACGCCGAGTTGGCCTGCTTCGGTTGAGTAAAAGGTGTCGAGGGAGTTTGCGTTCATTTTGGTGGTGTAGAAGGCGGACCCGATGCGGTCGTTGAGAACAATCATGGTGCCGCGGTTGCGTCCGGCGGGCGAGCCGGCGAGCTTGACGGCTTGGTAGAGGTTCAGTGGGCCGTCGGCGCTGAGGGCGGTGGCGGGTCTCATGGCGCCGACGACGATGACGGGCTTGGTGGAGTTGACGGTGCTTTCGAGAAAGAAGGCGGTTTCCTCAAGCGTGTCGGTGCCGTGGGTGACAACCACGCCGGAAATGTGGTCTTTTGCGAGTTCTTCGTTGACCATGTGTGCGAGGTACAAGCTAATAGTTTCGTTGATGTTTCCAGAGGCTACGTTGGAGGCCTGGTATCCGGCAATGTTTGAGATGTTGAGCAGTTCCGGTACCGCATCGACTAGTTGTTGGACTCCGAGGCCAATTGAATAGCCGGTTGTTTGTGTGTTTGTACTGCCTTGCGAGGCAATTGTACCTCCGGTTGCGAAGATTGTGACATTTGGAAGAGAGGCATTGATTGGTGTCTGGATGTCCTGGCGTACGAATAGCCTGTGTACCTGTGATCGAGTGAGATCGACGGGCGATGCAACAGCCAAAGACGTAACCAATGGAACGAGTTGCACAAAGGCCTTCATCTTGGCAATCAAGTAGCAGCTATGACTACGATTCCTAGGTACTCCAACTCAGCTTTGTCAAGGCGACTTATATATTCCTACACATTATCATTGCAACGGATCCATTTGTCACCTCCGTCGTCGGCCAACTCACGACACGCCTATCTGGACGGCAGGCTTATCTCAAGCCATGTTAAGCTAAGAGGCAAGGTTTCGTTATCATGTCCCGTCAATATTTCCCCATCGAGCGCTGAAAGGTAATACTACGAGTCGCCATTATGTACAAAGGGCTTGGCTCTGCGGATTGGCCAGACTAGTCTTGGTGCCGTTGCGCTTATCAGTACGTAGGATCTGAGTAAGTACTACCATGATCCATTTTCTCCGGTCGCTCGAACATCTCAAGGAAAAAAATGCCAAGCACGGATATGCAGAGCCTGCAAAATGATTCCCCCGAGCGGTTAGTCATTGATGTTACTCCATAGCTGCAGCCTTATTTTCCATGCGTCGGGTTGTGCTCTGCTATGCTGTAGTAGTGACAAGTGTGGAACCGGCAAGGTGCCGGCATCGGTCCCGTGCCGAAGAAATGCCCGAACCGCTCGATGCGATCACTGATCGGCACGCCAAATAGAGCCCATGGAATTGTATATGTAATGGAACTTTACAAAGAGAGTAGACCATTGTGCACTAGACATATCGATCAAACTCATCTGCCATCATGTTGCGAAAGATTGCTTGTCACACAACCACCCCCGCCTGTCCACGCTTTGCCATAATAGGAATTTAATGACAACAGGGCGCACCAGGTATTGTATAACAGAAATTTCGGGTGTAGGCGAACCCTAAAGACGAGTCTTTCGTATACCACAATTTTCTGTTTCACAACCAAAGTCCCTTTCAATCACCATAGCAAAGCATGTGCCCACCTTCCGAGCTTGCCAGTGCCGCCGTTCGAGACGCTGGTGGTGCACCCGACCACTATTCCTTTGAGGCTTCCCTGGATACACTGATATCGAAAGCTGCGTACACACATGCTGCAATCATTCTGCATCCATCCATCCTCAACCACAGCATCAGGGTGTTCAAGTATGCAGACGAAATAGCCAAACACACTAGTTCAAAGTACTTCACGGATCCGCACCAGCGCGACCTACTACTCACCGCATGCCTCCTCCATGATATCGGCACCACGCAAGAATACAATGGCCCACAGCGATTCGAAGTCGAAGGTGCGGATGCAGCAGTCAAGCACCTCTCGCAGTTCGGTGTTAGTAAAGAAGATGCACACTGTGTATGGACCGCCATTGCATGTCACACATCTCCTGGCATTGCAGAGCGGATCGGCGAGCTCTCGAGAATCGTGCGCATAGCCGTAGTCACAGACTTTCGAAGGGATGTTACAGAATGGAGCACGCTCGAAGCAATGAGAGAGAGGCTGGAGGTACAGCACGAGCGAGTAGGGATCGAGAAGGTGCTTGGAGATGCAGTCGTTGAGCAGGCAAAGATGGACCCTAGGAAGGCGCCCAAGGCTTCATGGCCTTATGCAATGTATGCGGCGTCGCTTGCTGAGCCAGATTGGGACGGTGTGAACAAAGCGTTTTGAAAAGGCTTGGTAGGTCGGCTAGGATAGTGTCTCGTATATGTGTGGGTATGTCGTATGTTCATAGCATTCATTGGCTGTGCAGCCATGTTCGTGGTATTCTTTTGGTGTCTCCAAAGATTCAACCTCCGTCACCCCTCTCCAAAAAACCTGGGTCTCTCTCAATTTTCCCTTCAAACTTGGTCCACCACGCCTGGAAAGCCTTGAGCGGTACTGTATCCCCCGTACCCCAGCTCGTCAAAAAGTCGTAGCAGTTCTTGATGATTCTCTGTGCGAGAACCTTTGTCTCGACACTCCTCTGTCCCCTGAGCACTAGCTCATTGCCCTGGATTGCTCCTGTTGGTTGCGGCCCCGCAGCAGCTTGCGCTTTGTTTTGCTCTATAGCAGCGGTGACCTGTTGCGCAGGCTCAACGCTTATTCCAAGGGCCAGCAGCGCAGTGCTTCCGTTTGCTGCATCCATGGACACTCCTTCGTCAACCATGGAGTCATCGCTGCCTAGACTCCCCGCTTTGGTGTTCACTTTGAAGATGGCACTGGGCTTTTCGTTGGCGATTGCGCCGAGCAGTTTAAACTCGGTTGTGCCGGGCAGTTGGGCATATACGGCAGCAGCGGTGCCATCTGGAAGTGCGACTCCAGGCAGGAGGAAGACGACAATGTGGGAGAAAGAAGGCTGTGAGGGAATCTGAAATGCCGATTGCGTGGGCGAGATGATGGACGAAGGCTCGGTAATGACAGGGCGGCCGGATATTATTATGCCTACAGGAGAGGACATTGTAGATACTGTATAAGATGCGATCAACCACCAGGGCTCTTTTGGGTGGCCGTCAGGCTACAGGCTGAGCGTGTAGCTTTGTTCATGGGAAAAGCCATGTTGACGGGCGCCTTTGACATGTTTTGTGTTTTGCGTCATGGCAGGCCCAAGCTTCGCCCCACATCCATCGCCTTACATCGCCTGACATATGCAATGTCCATTGCTAACTTACACCCACAAAAGTCTTGCTATGCTGGAATCTGCAATTATGATTTTGGCAATGCTTTTGCAAGACCCCATAGAATGGAGTTACCTCACATCCTAAAGCCGTGTGCAGCGCTGATCCATTCCTGGTCCAGCCTATCACTGACCCTCTTCAACACCCGACTTCCACCCATCAGAGTCTGGAACAAATGGATTCGCTCATCTTTGCTCATAATCAGAAAGCGAGAGAGTCCGGTTGCAGATATGTGCTTCGGCTCGGCTGCAAAAGGTGAGCTTGAACAGAGTGCAATTTCGAGCGTCGTCGGCTTCTTCAGCAATGCGACAATGGCCTGAGCCGCAAACGGATTTAGACCTGCTCGACGCAGGAAAACCTCGTACTAGTAATGGCCAATAAGATGGGATGCTTCTCAGTAGGGTTATAGTACTTACTGTTGTTTCCTGCGTTATAAGCTTAATGTCACCAATGTCAGCTGAGCCGTACGGTAAGCCGTATTTTCCCATTTCTGTCACCGTGGCACGCGCGAGGGCCTTCTCGCCTCCGGGAACGTACTGGATTAGCACATCACCCTCTGTGTTAGAAGTAAATCCCTCAATCGCTTTCAATGCTTCACTATCACGTGGGTCCTCTGGACGGCTTGACCCCAACTCTTCCAATTCACGACTTAGTCCCTCGCTGATCAGAACAATCAGTCTCTCGTATCGTAACTGGAGAGTAGCCAAAGACTCCTTTATCGGGGACCTTTCTGTTTGCCCCGGAAGAGCTCGCTGCTTGATCTGTTGCAAAGAAGTAAGAATCAGACCGGTGGAAGGCGAAAGAATCATGTCGGCATCTTTGGCCGGCGAATGCGGTAGAGTGTAGTCTCGGTACACCATCTCAGCGTTTGGAAACATCTGTTCTATCTGCCTCAACAGGCTTCTTTGTTGTAGAAACTTTGACGAGATGAGGATCGAACACGGCTCAAGGTCGGCTGGGATATTTGTAGGTGAGGGTGGAGGGTCCGTCATCTTCGTCTTCTCATCGTCTCTAAAATGTGCCATGTGCATCTCGTTTCTTGCCTCCTCGACAGGTCTTTTGGAGGCCTGAACTTTCGGGATATCCACTGAACGAGTACTTTTGCCTAAAAAAGGCTTTTTAACGGTATCAGCTCTTACAGACCCAGCAGCCTTTCCACGTGTCTCCAAAAACCTGTGAAGAGCACTTGTAGCAGAGAAACCACCAAACATGAGCTCATTGCTATTACCGTCTTTTTTCTTGTGTGCAGGCTTCAGCCGTGAAATCTGCTCTTGTGACAATTGCTGGCTCATATCCGTAGTCTTCGTTTCCAAGCCTGCTGGTATATGGCGCTGTAGCACTGCTTGTTTGTGACGTGTCTCTATCGTATCTTCTAGTTTCAGCTTGCGCTTGTTTAATAAAGCTTGCATGTCCTGGCTATGCTCATCAAGCACTGATTCTAGTTCGTCTTCGTCGTCTTCATCAAAGATTCTGAGCCCATCCCGCTTCCACACCTGCGTAGAGCTGGTTGCAATGCTACTTGTACTGGCTTCACTTAAAATTCTCTTCATATCGGTTTCGCCATGTAATGTCTCCTCCAGATTCAGTATTGATATCTTTGTCGTCAAGAAACCCCATTGCAACTCTCTTTCCGGCACTGACATTCCATGCCAGGATAGCGCGAATTTCAGTTCCTCACGTTTGATCCTCCGTAGAAATTGCGCCTGAGATTCAAGCTCAGTAGGATACCGGCAATTGTCGCGGTTTCGCCGACTATACTCAACCCACGGCGCCACGGGTAGTGGAGAGTCGATATACGGAACGTCCACACGTGCGGTCGTATCAGCACAGGACAGTTGCTCATTTCCAACAGACTTTCTCACTTTTTCAGCGAGTAGCTCAATTTCCGCGAAGATTTCAAAGTCCTCACTCGCGATATCATCATCACCATTATCCTGACCCCAGGGCTCATATGAGACAAGCTCACTTAATGTTGTGGCAAGAGACACCGATTTGAGCTTCTTCATCGGTGAGGTAGAAAACGTCGATGGTGTCAACGGCCCTTCCACTTTCAAGTCTGCAGCTTTACGCTTCGAAGGAATCAGTGCACATGCCTCGGGCAGTGGGCTAAACGACAACGGATGAATCATGTCGAGAAGCATCGAATCACTGCTATCAGATTCTTTCCGAGTAAGGGAATCTGCAGCCATGATCTCACTTTGAATGACTTCTGTCTCTGCACGGACAAAGTCGCTGCTATCTGATATAAGCGGCAGATTGTTTGTGGGTGATGAAGGTATGTAGGGCACCTGCAATGGAGAAAGCAGGAGTAAGGGAGGCGTGATGGGCCGAATAATTAAATCCTAAACTTTTCAGCATACGTATGCAAAGATTGTACATCATCCAATTACCCGATTGTAGATCTTATCTTCAGTCTTCAGCGCCTCGCTATCCCCTGGCACGTATGCATCGCGGATGGCTTCTTGGAGTTGCAAGAGTGTGCTTCTTGAGACAGCAAGCTTCTCAGTTTTGGCTTGCGCATCGCATTGTGCAGGATATGTAAGGTATGTAGCAGGCCATTCAAAGCCTTCGTCATCTTGTTCATTAACAAGTTCAGATGGAATCTTGAGATTCCTGAAGTCTGGTGGCGCCACATTACCGAAACTCAACAAGTCAACATCGTGGTCTGACTGGAGAACTGGAAGTTCATGCTTTAGATCCAAAATGCAATTTTTGTTGTCAGTCTGAAAACGGCTGACAGAAGTCTCTTCTTGGTAGATATAGATTTTCTTGAGCAGCAGTACAGCGTCTCTGTTTACTGTAAGTCGTTCCTTTGTTAGTGTCGAGACCACATCGGTAGTGGAGGGGTCAGAGAGACTGCAAAGGCTCTCATCGAGAGCTGTAGCCGATAATACATCCAGATCCGGAAAGGGTAGCGGCTCAGTTGTATAATCGATACAGAGGCCTTGTGCTCGTGCATATTCAAGAGGACAAAGTTCATCTTGTGAGCTTGGTTGGTCCATGGTAGCCATACACGTGTAATCGCATACTTCAACTCACGTAAGTGACCACTAAGGTTTTTGGCCTGGCATTAGTGGGTGATCAAGCAGGTGTTAGGTTTTGGATCGAGGATCGTTCCTTCCTCGTCTGTCTCACCAACATTCCCACGTGGCCACTGTACGTGAGAAGTCAACACCAACAGAAGCTACAACATCACAGACAAGACAGCGTGGGTTCAGAGTGATTTGACGATTAAATTTTTCATTGTACTCAGCCGTTGCTGTACTGTAGGCCGTTTCGTATGTTCTCAAATGAATGTGCAAAAGACACTTAATTATTTACAGCTCATCATCTTAGCTCTCCGCACGGTAGGCATAAAAAGCCCATGTCACATATTTACGCTTATGGAGTGGTTGGCTTCTGACCGAAACCGAGCGACTGGTTGCCACCGTTGAAGGCAACAAACTGCGCCCTGAACATGGTATCGCCATAGATCTGCAGACCGGAACCCTGGTTGCCCTGTACACCACCGAAGCAGGTGGTGTTTGCCTTGTCGACAGGCGCAAAAATGAGCTGGTTGCCAGGAATCTTGGCCATGTACGAGTCACCAATGGCGACGCTCATGTCAGGCAGGGTGGTTGCGCATGGGAAGATGAAGCCACCAACTTGAGCATTGAGCTGGGCGCCCTTGACTTGCGAGTAGTATGCATCGGCGACCTGTTGGTCCACAAGAAGAAGAGATGTACCAGTGTCGGCAATAGCATCAGATCCCTGTGGGTTGTCGAACAACTGGTCACCGACGGCAAACTTGGTAGAGCCGAATTGCCAGAAGCCAGTCTCAGCCTTGACAGGAATCCAGGCCATCTCGCCCTCAAACTTGGTGGCATCGATTTTGCCAAACTCGTAGACACCGGTGCCATCTGGGTCGAGATCGGCAGTAAAGACAGGCATGTCCAAATCGTTCATGACATTGGCGAAGAAGGTATTCTGAGGAGTCTTCTTGGTGCCGTCGTTGACTGGTTCGTTGTTAGTAAAAGGTGCTGCACCTGAGAGTTGGTCAACTTACCCGTATTGAGTTGGGAGAAGGCAAGGCCGACAAGGCCGTCAGTGTTGGTATCTTGAACAAACGATTGGGAGACCTGGTTGGCGAGCTCGACGGCCTGGTTCTTGACAGTGACACCTCCAATGGTGACGGTGTCTGTGCCCACGATACCAGCGGCGCCAGAACCATCGCCGTAGCTAATCTTCCATTGAGCACCGTCCACCTTCTTGAACGTAGCCGACTTGGCCGGATCAAAAGCGGTGTGTTGACCAATGAGTTGAGGGTCAAGCTCGGTGCTGAAACACCAACTGCGCGTTACTGATTAGTACATGGTTGGCTGTAAGTAGCAATGAGCACAAGCTTACAGATCAGAGGAACCAGAATCAAAATCCAAATTGAGGGTCTGTCCGCCAATGTCGACAGGTGACAAGAACAGAGCAGCATTGTCGGCAGGGTTAGCGGCAACTGTTCCAGTCGAGTTACCACTGGAGCCAGCAGCAGCAGCAGTAGCAGTGTCGTTGCCCTTTGTTTGCTTGGAGAAGGATATGAAGCCATCTTTGACCATGAAGTCCTCCTTGATCTTGAAGTTGTATTTCCTGAATACCTTCCTCATGGCAGCAGGACCATTGGGGCCAGTGGGATGGGCCTTGTTCAATTGCCTGGGAACCTTGAAGGAACGTTTCTGGAGACCCCTCTTGCGGGAGGGAGCCGGGACGGCGAGCACAACGGCTGCCAAAAGAGCAACAAAAAGAAGAAATCGTAGAGAAGGCATGTTGAGCAAACGCTGACCGGCAGCCTAACAGAATGAATCTGTTGTTTGGAGAAATAAAAAGAGGAGAAGAAGTGGTCAAGGAGAATAAGAAAACGGACGAGACGAAACAAAACACCACTTCCTAGAAAACAAAAATGGAACCCAGGCCTAGCCTTGGAGGATGGTTATCAATGAGTGTGCGAGAAGGGTGGCTTTTAAAAAGAAGGAATAACGGTGCAAGGCCTACATCCAGAGACGGTGAAACTCGTAGAGAGATGAAACTCGAATCCAGAATCGGATCATATAGCGCTGCATATTGAAATGTTTGGGAGCGCTAAGCCCGTACTCAAGACCCGGACGGAAATGCACGCGGCAGCAGACAAAACGCTACGCGTACTACGTTGAAGGAGATCCATGGGGAAATGGCAGCTAGTTGCTGTCAGCCTGTCAAGACCATTGGCTCTATGCAAGCCTGGGTAGCCACCGTTCAGTTGAATGCAACCATGTGGGTCGGACCTGCGCAAGCTCAGTGGCGAGGGAGCATCTAGAGCCTCATCATGGCTGTATCGATAAGGGGCAGATGGACTCGTTACGCGTCCACCTACGATGGTGGTTGTGATAGTGGAGCGAGAGAACGCTCGTCGGCGTGGGTCGCCGCTCAAGTGCGTTTCAGCGGCGTAGCATTCACAAACGCCATATACTACAGCAACCAGCCATGGCAGTGACGCTACGATGCGTTCATGGCTACTCGGGCATTCTTCATACGCACTTGGCAGTCGTCCGCCTGCTTGCCTGTCTGCCTGCCTGCTTGCTTACGACGACGACAGCTCTGCTTGGACAAGTTTACAAATGTTGAAGTTTTCCATGTCTCTCAACGGTGTCGCATGAGGTTACCGCCGCCGACGGATTTTGGTGGTTGCATGAAGGTGAGAGTGTTTCAGAGTGCCAAGGCCAGACAAGCTAACCCGGCGATTCGGCTCCGATGAAACCCAGGGGCCTCGCGCCCGCAACTCGAGTAGACACAGCTGCCGGCCCAGCCTGCCAGTGGCGCGTACAGCACCGTGTCGACAGAGAAGCGTCCGCGGCAATGCTTAGCTATGATGCCGAGCCATTTCCTTTCAAACACTCTCCGTCTTGGAGAACATGCTTGACCATGGCAATACACACGAACACGTCGGCCTTTCGGACATGAGCCTGACTTCCAAGGGGCGTTTCCTCGCGTGCCGTGTACCCTTGATTTGCTTTTTCAAATTGCAAGCCGCTTCCTTATGGGACCCAAATCCGCACCATGCCAATGGTCGCAGCCAAGAGTGCCTACCAAACAATGTCCTTTGCCCGTGTTCGAGGCGCGCGCCAGCTCCACAAGAAATACATTTTAGCCAAGTGCAGATAGCGTGTCCATGTGTTTGGTACCGAAGGAAAGAAAACATGTGTGCATGGTACATCAGTCCTGGCCTGAACTAGGCAGAAAGTTGGATGTGCAGGGTCTCGGCTACGTACCAACGTCAGGACCCCAGGTGTATATCTACACCACTACGACAGGCGGCATTTGTTTGCATGAAATCAATGCATATATTCGTATATTAAATAACAATACTTTTTTTTCCATCTTCTTCTTCTTCTATCATGACTCGACATTGCCGCTCCCCACGTTCGTACCTAGTGTGCATGTTTGCTTCCCATACAAACAATCACAGGCACCAGGATATGCCAATCCCTACCAGGCCATCTGCTGCCGGATCTGTAACATCCCGCTGTGCTTGGCCCATTCGCCATGGCTCCCTCCAAGACTTCGCGTGCGTTGTGCCCCGGCGCGGCAACATCCCACTTCGCACTGTGCCTCCTATTACCGTCCATCACACTGCGTAATCGGTAGCGTTTCAACCGCGATAGTGTGTTCCAAACATTGCAAATCAGCCCTTTCATCCAAGAAGCTCTACATCTAGCCCAATCGCTCTCATAAACAAGTTTACGTTTGCCGTTCGAGCGCTCGCCATGTCTGGTGGTAAAGCCTTGCTCACAGAAACGGTTTCCATGACGCGGTCCTTCACTCCGAGTACTAGCCTCTGCTGTTGCTCCGGGCTGGCTCCCACACCCATCGCTGCCAGGAACTGCCAGATGTACATGTCGTCCGTGTCGTTGATGCTCCCTGGGAACAGGTAAGGGAGAACCGGCTCAATAACGTCAAACAAGCGGTTGTAAAGCCCAGTCCATTGCTGCCAATCAGTCACCATCTCGGGCGCCGACTGCTTAAGGAGTTCAGCCCGGGAAATCAGGAATGTCAGAAGAGTAAGGCCTATCCTGCTCCGCGCCACTACGTGGAGGTTGGTGCGGTCTAGAACAAGGCCAAGAAGACCAATGACAATGTTCAGTGGCGCATCTGAAATGTGCGCGTGGATGGGCGACATGACTGTCTGAGAAAAGAGATCGACCTCCTCACGGATTGCCGCACTCAGGGGCTCTTCGGGCGTAGCAATGGCCTGGCCCACTACTGAAAGGGCATCGAGGTGAACAACGATCATGGTCACGACTGTGATGCGCTCTTGCTCGTTAATGTGGCGGAAGAGGCGCGGCACAACCTTCTTGCCCTTGGCATGTGAAAGGATCGAAATGAAGGGATGAGGTGTGCTGAGCATGTTAGCAGGAGCAGCTTCACTGTGGGGCACGACATACTTGGGATTGATGGGCTCCATAATCTTTGTGTTGAGCCAGAGCTGCTCGTGGAGAGCCTCAATCCGCGATCGCCATTCCATGTGTGCTTGGATGGCTTCAGGAGGGCTGTTTTCCTGAATTGGCATTGGCATGGCGCGTTCATGATCTTCCATTTGCATCAACGTCTTGTACACAGCCTCGATGTTACGAAGCGTTTGTTTACGATCTGCGATGGAGGACCGGGGGTGTCTTGGGAGTTTGTCGTTGGTTTCCGGTCGCTTGAGGTTGAGCAGCGGTCGTGGCGTCTTGGAATTGCTGAATGCAATTTTTCCAAGACTACCCTCGACGACGAGTTGTTTGGCTTTTGGCCGTGCTTTGGCAGCCTCGACTGCACGCTGGATCTGTTGCTCCATGCGCTGCATGTGGTTGTCGCCTCCGCGGCCATGTCGACGGGCGCCGAATCGGTTGTTCGTCTGGAAGAGATAGGTTTGGGCAAACTGGCTTGCTGGCTGTTGGGGGTTGTGGCGGGGAGCACCCCGGATCTGGCTGAAGACCTGGTAGTAAAAGTCCTCTGCAATGGCAGCTTCAGGGCCCCGTTCTTCCAGGTTTCCAGTCGCGGTCATCAGCTGCTGCAGCTGGATACGAGTGATGAAGTTCTTGTCCTGAGGCGTCATGAGACCATTGTCCTTTGCCAAAAGGGCAATCTTGTGGTTTCGCTTCGCGCGCTTTGCGTCTTCTTCAAGGAAAGCAGCACGCTCAGCCTCGGACAGCTGAAGGAGCTGCTCCGGGTGGGTAATAACCATTCCGGGAAACGAAGGGCCTCTGTTATGGGCTCCTGGCTGACCGCGATGCGGGCCAGGCTGCATAGGCTGGCCCTGGCCGGCGAGGCGGTTGGGGTTCTGCAGGATCTGACGGGGCTGTGCAGGTGAACCTTGGATCTGATTCTGCGGAGCACCGGGGTCGTTGGAGTGGGGTCGCTGTCGCTGGAGAATGGTGGGCTGCTGGGGCGATTGGGACTGGACGGGCTGGTCTGGCAGTTCGGCACGGAGCTGCTGTTGATGTCTCGGTGGCATACCCTGCTGCTGTTGCTGGGGTCTCTGCAGAATCTGGGGCGCAATGTGGCCAGGCATACCGGGATAATGTGGCTGGGCCTGGGGGAACTGACCCTGCTGCTGGTACTGCTGCTGAGGGTAGCCGGGGAAAGCCTGGGGCGGTGGCTGCTGAGCCAGCGGGGTAGCTCTGGGGTCATTGTTGAGAGATTGAGCGCGCATCATGGCCTCGACCTCCTCCATGCTCATGACCTTTCTGGTGGGCGCAGGCATCTCGGCAGCGGCAGGGGGCTGTGGCGAGGGCTGGCGCTGGGCGGCGGGCTGCTTGGGCTTGAGGCCCCAGATGTCGGCACGCGCCTCAAGCTGGGGAATGTACTCGGGGTCCTTGTAGCTCTCATAGCCAGAGCGATTGGGCTTTGAGGCCTGGGGGACGGGGGGCCTCTGTTGGTACTGGTGCTGTTGTTGGTGCTGCTGCTGCTGCTGTTGCAATTGCTGCTGTTGCAATTGCTGCTGTTGCAATTGCTGCTGCTGGTGATGCTGGGGGATCTTTTGGCGGGCGTGGAACAGCATCTGCTCCTCCTGAATGGTGCCAGCAACCATTGACGTCTGGCCGGCAAAGTCAAAGTGCTTGCCAACCGACTGCTGCGTGGCCGGGCCGTCGCCGAAGGTGTCGTCATTGCGGTCGTCGGCATCGTCGTCTAGCTGGTCGCCGAGGCCGTCGTAGGTGTCATCGAAGTCGATTCTGTGAGTAGTGAGAAGCAGGCCTGGTGGGCGTCGAGGGCGACATGGACATACACATCGTCATCGGCCGCCCCGCCGCCGAGGGCAGCAAAGGCATCGTGCTGGCCAAAGCCGGGGGCGGCAGTCGAATGGCCCTGGTCACGTGGCAACGTCGTGTCGAAGCCGAAGAAGGACATGGCGGCGGGCCTCTCTCACCACACGCGAGATGTGTGTGTGGTGGTGGTGGTGATGTTGGTGGTTGTTGGGGGTGGGCGTGTGCGGTGGTGGTGGACGGTGGATAATCGACGGCAAAGTCCGCACGCGCTCGTATGGACTGACTGCCTGGCCCTCGTACCCGGCAAGCCTAGCCTACTAGGTATACCTGGTCCTCAGCCACACTTTCTTACTTGCCTACCGCCTACCATTCTTACCACTGCTACAACTCCTTTTCTGGCTGCCCAACTCCTGTTCTACTTTTCTTCCATCTGCCTTCTCCTTCTTTTTCTCCTTCCCCACCTTGTCCCCCGTTTCACCCCGCCTACCCCCCCGTGGTCTTCCTCTTCCGCTTTGTCCTGCCCATGCGCACGCCTTGCGCCAAGTAGCAGTCGCTCGTTCCCCCTGCACCACGTCGCCGCCGCTGCCAAAGACGCCACGCGCACCCTTTAATCCACTCTTGCTCGCAGCATAAAAGCAGCCTGGCAGTGTGGAGAGTCTCCGACGTCACTAGGAAAGCTTCAGCCTGTCGATCACGACTCGCAATCTCAACCATCAACACCAACACCGTCCGCCACCCGCCATGGCCGGCAGCCAGCGCTATCTCCGCTACATTGTCTTCGCCGTCATCGTATGATCCTCCCCTGTCACCTCACTCATGCCCACGCAGCCATTGACTCTCTCCAGTCCCTGTTCCTTCTCTACTTCATCGGCTCCTCATCGTCCGTGCCTGCCGCAAGCTGGCCAGCCTACCAAGATGCAAAAACCCCAGCCACACCGCCCCAGGGCAATGCCGCCGTGGTAGACGACGACGAATCCCCTCGCACTCCCACCCCCAGCACCGGCACCCACACTAACCCCGGCACTTCGCTCAATGACAAGACGCTTCCCCCCGCCACCATCGCCGGTGACCGCATGAACGCAACCTTTGTCACTCTCGCCCGCAACCAGGACGTCTGGGAGATTGCAAAGTCGATCCGCCACGTCGAGGACCGCTTCAACCGCAAGTTCAACTACGACTGGGTCTTCCTCAACGATGACGACTTCAGCGACGAGTTCAAGAAGGTGACGACGGCCCTCGTCTCCGGCAAGACAAAGTACGGCAAGATCCCCATGGAGCACTGGTCCTTCCCTGAGTGGATTGACCAGGAAAAGGCCGCAAAGGTTCGCCAGGAGATGAAGGAGAAGAAGATCATTTACGGAGACTCGATCAGCTACAGACACATGTGCCGCTACGAGTCAGGCTTCTTCTTCCGCCACCCATTGATGCTCGACTACGAATGGTACTGGCGTGTCGAGCCCAGCATCGAGCTGTACTGCGACATCAACTACGACACCTTCAAGTACATGGCTGAGCACAAAAAGAAGTACAGCTTCACCCTTAGTCTGTACGAGTACGTCGAGACCATCCCCACGCTCTGGGACGCCACCAAGAACTTCACAAAGCACTTCCCCCAGCACATCAGCAAGGACAACTCTATGAAGTTCCTCAGTGACGATGGTGGCGAGACCTACAACCACTGCCATTTCTGGTCCAACTTCGAGATTGGCAACCTTAACTGGCTCCGGTCTGATGCATACATTGACTTCTTCACTTCTCTCGACCATGCTGGTGGTTTCTTCTACGAGCGCTGGGGTGATGCACCTGTCCACTCCATCGCCGCCGGTTTGCTCCTGCAAAAGGATGAGCTCCACTTCTTCAACGATATTGCTTACTACCACGTTCCCTTTACGCACTGCCCAACAGGCGAGAAATACCGCCTTGATCACAAGTGCTCATGCAACCCCAAGGACAACTTTGACTGGAAGGGTTACAGCTGTAAGTTTGACCATCTAGCTTTTGCAAATACCAATACTTACACGTCAACAGGTACTTCTCGCTTCTACGAGTTGAATGGCCTGGAGAAGCCAGCAGGGTACGAAAAAGAGCAGGACTAGATGCTCAATTTTACTTTTCGATTTCAATACCAGTGCGAATCGCCGTCGGCCTTGTTTTTCTCTGCTTTTAGCGGACCCGACGTCTGACGTAGTCTAAAGTGCACCGCTCTCCTCATCAGACAAAAGACGACTTGCAGTGAAGATTGTCTTGTTCGTGCTCGCCATCATCAGTCTAGGGATTTGCATGGTCAAAAGACGTCGCACTGGAATATCACAGTCGCCGCAAAATTCGTTAGCCAAGTGGCCTTTATAGGGAAATCAGAGGGTATTAGAAAAAAATTCACTCTAAATGGCGTAAATGTTGGCTTGGCGTTGAAATCTATGCTTTGGTCATTTACCTCTGGCTTTGGCTGGTTGGCTGTCTGAAATGGGTCATGTCGTGGCTATTATCCATTTACCTGTAATGTTATATATTTATTGTAAACATTAGATTTACTGCTTAGACTAATGATGACGATGCGTCCGATGTGTGCAATTGATGTCATTTCTTTATTTTTGTTCTTCTCCTTCTTTTCTACTATTAATCATTATAATTAACTATGCCACTGCCATCCTTGTTGGCCTTGGGCACCCCGTGCCTCTCGCTCAACTCATCTTCCTGCGACCGACTTTGCGGATCAAGATATGGCCGTTCGGCACGCACCGCAACGCGCACGGCGTGTCTGCGGTGTGGTGCAAATCCATATGATGCTGAATGATTCTACATTGCGTTAGTGTTGCTCTCATATTTGCTTATATCAAGGATTCCAAGACTTACCGTGACCCTGTTATCCCAAAATGCAACATCACCTTCCTTCCACTGAAATCTTGCCTGGATCTCGGGACTTGTCGCAACAATCTCATTCAATAGTCCGATGATATGATCAGACTCGGTCTTGGGCACACCCACGATCTTGGTCACGAACCCCGGGTTAAAGAACAGACTCTTCCAGCCCGTCACGGGGTTGGTTCGAACAAGTGGATGCTCCGTTGTCACGGGTTCACGTCGTACCGTGCGGCCCAGGTCGCGTGACCCTTGGGCTTGCAGGTCGGCGGAGTGTAGGGCAGTCAGTGACTCGAGGTACTTTTGCATGTGTGACGAGAGCATATCATAGGCTGCGTATTGCGAGCTCCAGAGGGTGTCGCCACCGCCGCCTCGTGGGGGGCCCGTGAGGACTTTGAGCGATGTGTAGGATGGTGGTTGGAGTTCGTATGTTACCTGTTTCCATGATGTGATTAGCAAGATCCCGGTGTCAAGGGGTCAGCATAGTTCTTACATCTGAGTGCCAGAGAAATGTGGGTGTGAACAGAGCTCGTAGGTCGGGACTTCCTTCTCCTGTGAAGATGACATGTACATCTTCGAGGCCCTTACGCTTGGGAACGCCAGTTGTGGCGTGCTTGTGTAGCTCGCCAAAGTACTTACTTAGCTCTCTTTGCTTGTCAATGCTAAGGTTCTTTTGGTCGCGGAAGAAGACAACACCTCGTGTCGCGATCAAGCGTGCTAGATCGTTCTTTTGTGCATCGGTGAGGTTGGCGAGGTCTACGCCGTGTACCTCAGTCCCGATCTTGGGGTTGTAGTCAAAGACGTCTGTGGCAGAGGCAAGGAGGTTTTTGAAGTTAGGGTCTCCTAGTTGGCCCTTTTCTATGTAGGGAATCTCGGTATATGCTGGCCATGTGATGTCTGGGAAGTGTGGTCTTAGGTCCTCGTACTCGTATGTCTCGTCATGTTGTTTGATTTTTGTTCGTCCCGGGACGTAGCTGTGTGCATTTTTGGGCTTTGAGGCCACTACAGGAGCGTCTGTGGTGTTGTGTTGATATTGTAGTTCAACAAGTCCAGGTGCCATGGCAGCGGCAAGTTTACGATGTACGCCTTTTGGGATAGGAGTGATTGCAACGTTTTGAGAGGCCTTCTTCTACGTACGTCTTTCAAAGAGAATGAGGTAGAAGTGATAGAGCCTGTAATGGCACTCAAATCAAGAACCTAAATTGCTAGAGCAAAGGATGCTAGTATGACTTGAGAGGTGGAATGGTATCTGGGGAAAGGCAAAGCCAGTGAATCCGCTACTTATATCCTGCTGGGTAAAGTAATATCTAAAGTGCGTATTGTTGTGGGGAAAAAATATGCCGGCTTTGCTGGAGCAATTGCGCCATCGCACCTAATCCGATGATCAATCATAGTCCACAACACTGACGACACTTTGCAATCTTACGTGTCTGAGGCGTACGAGAACTGTCATTGGATTATGGAGCACTGAGTGGCTAACGGGAGCAGATACGAGGAACTACACAGTCCTATATTCTATCGGCCAAGTTGTCTCCTGGTAGAATTGCGGCTCAGTGCACATCATTGCGTACAAAGCAGACTAACTGGGAGAGTGAGTTGCTGAAGTCGGTGTAAAATCAGACGCTAGCCTGATGTGGAAGCTGAGGGCATGGCACCATATTGCACCATTTCACACTCTGAATTCAACATCGCCCGACAAATTATTTTTTGTCCCAAAGCAACAGGGCATTTAGACCGTCAATGTTCCCGTTCCTTGCCGGTTTTGTTCAAGGCGCAATATTGGCGAGCACAGCCGTGTGGGGAAGGTATGCGGAGAAAGGACATGGGGGCAGGACGTCCGACGTTCCTAGGACTGTGTTGCTTGGTAGAGCTTAATGCCTTCGGATTGCCTGTGATTGTCACTTGTGATCCATACCAACGATCTCTTAGCGATATACAGCTAGAACCCGCAACATTTGACAATTGTCGCTTGTAGCTATTGATGCGACTAAATGCCCCTTTCGTAGTTCCTCCTCCTACTCTGTCGGAAAAATAACCACGCTTGCTCGAACGCTTCGACACCTGACGCCTGTACTGGTTGCAAAATGTCCAATATAATCGAATTATTAAAAATGCCTTCTCTTATCGCTTCTCACTTATATCCTCTGCAAATATGTGCCAAGTCGATGGAGGACTCCCAAAACGACACAGTCTTTTTTATACTGATCGCCCTGTGATGAAGGGTATCGGGACACCGTTAAGATTTAGCCACTGTATCGAGGCTTTGCGCCCCTCACGTTGGGACTCGACGCCAGGGGCACTTTGGCCGCCTGTGGATTCTGAAGCATTCTGGACCCGTCGTCGGACAATGCCCTTTTCTTCAAGAATGGGACTCCAGTACGGGTGTGTGCCTTTGTGTATGCGGTAGAGCTCGTAGTTGCCGAAGATAAGAACGAGTGTGGATGTGACGGGTATGCGTGAGATGTTGTGGAAGATGCGTGTGGAGCTCATGTTTCACAATTTAAATCAGGCCGGAGATGTAGAGTGGAGTAGTGAGTAATGTACTGGACGCGCTCAGCAAATTTCTGAGGTTGAGTATCGTGAGTAAGTATGCACGGGAGGCGAGATGGAGTGATGCGGAGTCTGGCGAGAGATGAGTGGCTGCAGCGCGGGGACACGCCTTAGCGCGATTTCGCCGCCGAGCCGCATCAACTTTCTCGACTATGCGACAGCTCCGTCCAATCCACGCACTCCCATTTTCCATATACAACCACGGCCAGGTTACAACACATCATGCGTACTGGCGCCTAAGCAAAGGACTTGAATTCAGAAACCGCATAGATCCGATCATCAACAAGCGCGATTTCACCAGTCCCGACAATCCACAGAACCACGCGCCTTGCGAAGACGCAGATTACCGCCATGGACGACCTTGAGAACCTCGAGTTTCTATCGCTTGTTTCCAAGGTCACATCGGAAATACAAAACCACGTTGGTGTCTCCGATAAGACACTTGCCGAGTTCGTCATCGACCAACATGCCGACTGCAAGGATGTTGCCGACTTCAAGAAACAGCTCGAGGATGTTGGCGCCGAGTTTCCACAGAGCTTGGTCGAGAGCATCGATCGCCTTATTCTGACTCTGCATCCCAAATATAAGAACAAAGGCGCAGGTGGAAAGCAGGGAGGCGCAAATGCAGAAGACGACGGAGATGCAACAAGTCGCAAAACGCGTGTCTTCAAAGGGTTGGCCATTCCCGACAGGGAAGTGGAATACGATGCGGCAGATGAGGAGCCGATGAATGATGCGTCCCAGGCCGATGCGCTGGACGACACCTTTGCCATGCTGGAAGGACTGGCAGGGAAGGCACCAGGCAAGCCCAAGGAGCGGTCGCGCAAGAGGAGCATGAGCCCATACGACAGCGGCGACGATACCAGTAAGAGCAAACGACACAGGCGGAGGGACACATCGCACTCTCGCTCGCCATCCAGGAGTCCGCGGCGGGGGCGACAACGGGAGCAGAATGACGAGTTGGTTTTTGAAGACGAATTTGGCCGTACACGAACCGTCAAGCCCAGTAATAAGCAGCGAAGCCGCAAAAAGTATCGCGACGAAGATATTGAAGAGTTCCGACGGCAGCCCACTCCCGAGCTCGACGACGAGCCAGTGCTGTACAAGATTTACGACGGCAAGGTCACGGGTGTCAAGGATTTTGGCTGCTTTGTTAATCTACAAGGTGTGAAAGGCAAGGTCGACGGACTTGTCCATGTCACCCAGATGATGGAGGGGCGAGTCAACCATCCATCAGATCTTGTGTCGAGATGGCAGGAGGTCAAGGTTAAAGTTATCAAGATGGAAAACGGCAGGATATCGCTCTCGATGAAAGAGGTGGATCAGCGGACAGGCCGTGATCTTGCACCAGGAAAGCGTATAGCATCATTTGGAACCGGCGCGAACTCGCAAGGTCTTGGGGGCATTCCAGGAGTTGATAGCTCTGTGCCTGTTGTTGAGGATGGCTACAACAGCCGTAGAAATGGCATGCGGAAACGTATGACTTCGCCAGAGCGATGGGAGATCAAACAACTCATCGCCTCTGGTGTAATCCCCAAATCCGACTACCCCGATATTGATGAGGACTTTAACGCTCATATCAACGGCGAGGGCGGTTTCGAAGAGGAAGAGGATGTTGACATTGAAGTCCGTGAAGAGGAGCCACCCTTTTTGGCCGGTCAGACCAAGCAATCACTGGAGCTTTCGCCAATTCGTGTTGTCAAAGCACCTGATGGCTCGCTCAACCGTGCCGCAATGGCCGGAGACACACTGGCCAAGGAACGCCGTGATCTTAAACAACAAGAAGCACAGGAGAAGGCTGCAAAAGAAGCGGCAAACGTGGACTTGAGCAGTCAGTGGAATGATCCCATGGCCCAGCAACGGCAGTTTGCAAGCGATCTCCGCAACACTCGAACGAACGAACCCAGTCAAGCACTGCCAGAATGGAAAAAAATCTCCACAAACAGCAGGGAGACCTCTTTTGGCAAGCGTACCAACATGAGCATCAAAGAACAGCGGGAGTCGCTGCCTGTATTCAAATTCAGGAAGCAACTTCTCGAGGCTGTTGCAGCCCATCAAATCTTGATTGTAGTTGGTGATACTGGATCTGGAAAAACAACACAGATGACGCAGTATTTGGCCGAAGCCGGTTATGCTAACGAGCTTGTTATTGGTTGCACTCAGCCCAGGCGTGTAGCAGCTATGAGCGTCGCCAAACGTGTTGCTGAGGAAGTTGGCTGCACTCTAGGGAACGAGGTTGGTTACACGATTCGATTTGAAGACAAGACTTCACCGGATACGCGTATCAAATACATGACGGACGGTATCCTGCAGCGTGAGATTCTCTTGGACCCCATGTTGTCCAAGTATAGCTGTATCATGCTCGATGAGGCCCACGAACGTACGATTGCCACGGATGTACTGTTTGGTTTACTGAAAAAGACGCTCAAGCGACGACCTGACATGAAACTCATCGTTACCAGTGCTACCCTAGATGCCGACAAGTTCTCGGAGTACTTTTATAAGTGTCCCATCTTTTCAATCCCAGGCCGCACGTTCCCTGTCGAGGTCATGTACAGCCGGGAGCCTGAGTCTGATTACCTTGACGCAGCATTGGTTACAGTCATGCAGATCCATTTGACAGAACCAGCAGGTGACATCTTGCTCTTCTTGACAGGAAAAGAAGAAATCGACTCTTCTTGCGAGATTATATCTGAGCGCATGAAGGCCTTGGGACCGAACGTGCCAGAGTTGATGATTCTACCCATCTACGGTGCCCTGCCATCTGAAGTGGCGTCTCGCATCTTTGAGCCCGCGCCCGCAGGCAGTCGAAAATGTGTCATTGCTACCAATATTGCTGAAACCAGTTTGACTATTGACGGCATCTACTATGTTGTAGACCCGGGTTTCGTCAAGCAAAGTTCTTATGACGGAAAGCTAGGCATGGACCGTTTGCAGATTACGCCTATTTCCCAGGCTCAGGCTCGCCAAAGAAGTGGCAGAGCAGGAAGAACAGGACCTGGAAAATGTTTCCGTCTGTACACCGAAGCAGCATTCCAGAACGAGATGCTGCCGACAACTATCCCAGAGATTCAACGTCAGAACTTGTCAAACACGATTCTCATGTTGAAGGCTATGGGCATTAATGATCTGTTGCATTTTGATTTCATGGATCCACCACCGACCAACACCATGTTGACAGCTCTGGAAGAGCTGTATCAGCTGGGCGCATTGGACGACGAAGGGTTGCTCACGCGTCTTGGTCGGCAAATGGCGGATTTCCCCATGGACCCTTCTCTCTCCAAGTCACTGATCAAGTCAGTCGAGCTCCAGTGCTCAGACGAGATTCTCACAATCGTGGCTATGATTAGCGCCACTCAGAACGTTTTCCATCGTCCTCGAGACAAGCAGCAGCAAGCAGACCAGAAGAAGCAGAAGTTCAACGATCCATCTGGCGACCACATTACCCTTCTCAACGTCTACAATGGCTGGAAACAGGGCGGCTTCAGTACACCATGGTGCCACGAAAACTTTGTCATGCCCAAGAATATGCAACGCGTACGCGACGTACGAAACCAGTTGCTGCAGATCATGGCACGACACAAGCATCAGGTCGTGTCTTGTGGTCGGAATACCATCAAAGTTCGGCAGGCACTCTGCTCAGGTTTCTTCCGCAATTCAGCACGCAAGGATCCTGCCGAGGGCTACAAGACGCTTGTCGAGGGTACACCTGTGTACCTGCACCCTTCTTCGTCGCTCTTTGGTAAGCCTGCAGAGCATGTCATATATCATTCGCTTGTCGAGACTACCAAAGAGTACATGCACTTTTGCAGTGCCATTGAACCGAAGTGGCTAGTGGAAGCTGCACCTACTTTCTTCAAGGTTGCGCCGACGGACCGCTTGAGCAAGAGGAAGAAGGCGGAGAGGATACAGCCGCTACACAACAAGTTTGCAGGCGAAGACGATTGGAGACTGAGTGCCCAGCGAAAGGCAGGAAGAGGCGGTGGTGGTACTTGGGGCTGATTCCATGCACGTTGGGCAAAAAAGTTGCTTCTTGGCATATATGTGATACCTTTAAAATATAATGTACAGCTGGTTCTGGCCGGTCATTGCTTGTGTGAGAACATGTGTAACAAGCCGTGATGTTGGTAATCGAATTTAGAGTGATGGGGATCTTTGTCTGGTCAACATAGTAGAGGTGCACGGACCTGCACTTACTTCCTCATCCGGACAGCGCGACCGCGTTTTCGCGTGTTTACAGCGCCCCCGCAAAAGTCCCAAGGCTCCTGCTAGAGTGACCAACATCCCATACCACCGTAACCATACGCAAAAATCATGTCGTCTCTTCTGGATCTCGCGCTCAATTCGGACGCTGCGCCCACCCCCTCGAGCGCCTTCGGTAACGATGCACGAACACCACTGATGCGATCCTCGTCGGCCAGACCCCGCGGACCCCCCTCTGAAAGCGCTGGCGCCAACAGTGATGTTGAAGGAGACCCGGACGACGAGATCATCGGGGCACGATTGCCAGGCAGGCGCACCAATGCTCCACGGACAGATATTCCAAAAGTGGTCGATGTTACGGGAGAGACACTTTCGCTGCGCTTCCAGGAATTCCTAGAGAAGTGAGCTTCACGATGCACAATGGACAATACAAGCTGGCTAACCATAAGAACAGCTATACAGAAGACCCCTCCTCCTCAGCACTTCCAACATCGAGTGCGGTGCCTACTACAGACAAATACTACATTGCCCAAATACGTGGTATGAGGCTTTACGGCCTTTCTACCCTCTATGTCGACTACACGCACCTGCTCAGGCACGAAGATGGTATCCTCGCAGCTGCCATTGCAAGCGAGTACTATCGGTTCCTGCCCTACATGGTTCGATCGCTCCATAACCTTATCGCAAAGTACGAACCCAAGTACTTCCGCCAGCATAAGCAGCCCGCCTCCACAGCTTCTGCGACAGCTATCTCAAACGCTGGAAACTCAGAAAGTCAGAATGAGAGCCTCAACGAGAAAACAGCGAACCAGCAGACCGACAAGCTCTTCACCCTAGCTTTCTACAATTTGCCCCTTGTTTCACGTATTCGCCAGCTCCGCACCACGTCAATCGGTAGCTTGCTGTCAATTTCAGGCACTGTAACACGAACCTCTGAAGTCCGTCCAGAACTCTCAATGGCAACTTTTGTCTGCGAAATTTGCAATACCGTTGTGCCAAATGTCGAGCAAACGTTCAAATACACGGAGCCCGCGCAGTGCCCCAACATAACGTGTATGAACAGGGAAGGCTGGCGACTTGATATTCGGCAGTCTACTTTTGTCGATTGGCAAAAGGTGCGCATCCAGGAGAACAGCTCGGAGATCCCCACTGGTAGCATGCCGCGAACAATGGACGTCATTCTGCGGGGAGAAATGGTTGACCGTGCAAAAGCTGGAGAGAAGTGCATCTTTACCGGTACCGTCATTGTCATTCCTGACGTGAGCCAATTCCGTGTTCCTGGTGTGAGACCACAAGCAATGAGAGATACATCCAATGCTACGCGTGGCAACGATGTGGGTGGTTCTGGTGTCAGTGGCCTCAAAGCCCTTGGTGTCCGAGACCTCACATATCGCATGTCTTTCCTAGCATGCATGGTCTCCCCAGACCACTCAACTCCTGGGCAATCCTCAAACCACCATTTGACCGGTCAGGCTAGCAACATTCTTGCATCTCTGGGCCAGGGTCAAATCGAGTCGAATGCAACAAGCGGCGAGGAGGCACAGGAAGAATACCTTGGTACTCTAACTGCTGCTGAGATTCAGGATCTCAAGGACATGGTGCACAAGCCCAATATTTTCATGCGCCTTGTCGACTCGATTGCACCAATGGTCTACGGTCACCAGGTCATCAAGAAAGGTCTGCTCCTCCAGCTCATGGGCGGTGTGTCGAAAGAAACACCAGAAGGTATGGCGCTCCGTGGAGACATCAACATCTGCATTGTCGGCGATCCTTCGACATCAAAGTCACAGTTCCTCAAGTACATTTGCAGCTTCCTTCCTCGTGCTGTTTACACTTCGGGCAAGGCTTCGTCGGCTGCTGGTCTTACAGCTGCAGTTGTCAAAGATGAGGAGACTGGCGAGTTCACCATTGAAGCTGGAGCTTTGATGCTTGCTGACAATGGCATCTGCGCTATTGACGAGTTTGACAAAATGGACGTCGCTGATCAGGTCGCTATTCACGAAGCTATGGAACAGCAGACTATTTCGATAGCAAAGGCGGGAATTCAGGCTACGCTCAATGCTCGTACCTCAATCCTTGCTGCTGCCAACCCTGTAGGCGGTCGGTATAACCGGAAGACGACGCTGCGCGCCAATATCAACATGTCTGCACCCATCATGTCCCGTTTCGATCTATTCTTCGTAGTTCTTGACGAGTGTGACGAGGCTGTTGATCGTCATCTTGCCGAGCACATTGTTAGCATTCACCAGCACCGAGATGAGGCTGTGGACCCTGAATTTAACACGGAGCAGCTACAGCGCTATATCCGATTTGCGCGGACGTTTAGACCGGAGTTCACCGATGAAGCAAGGGAAACCCTCGTTGAGAAGTACAAGGAGCTGCGTGCGGACGACGCTCAAGGCGGCATTGGCCGCAACAGCTACCGGATTACGGTGCGTCAGTTGGAGAGCATGATTCGTCTCTCCGAGGCGATTGCAAAAGCGAATTGCGTGACGGACATTACACCCGAATTCGTCAAAGAAGCGTACAATCTCCTCCGGCAATCGATTATTTCAGTAGAGAAGGACGACGTTGAAGTAGAAGACGACGACGAAGCTCTTCTCGCGGCTGCGGCAGCTGCCGAGCAAGACGGGGATGCTGCCATGGGCGATGGCCAGCAGGAGGCAGCACGAGACCGGACGGCGACACCGGCGGTAGCGCCGCGGGAGAAGACGAAGATTACGCACGACAAGTACGTTGCCATGCGCAACATGCTTGTCAAGCGAGTCAACGAAGACCAAGAAGAGACACAAGACGGAGTGGAAGAGGAAGAGCTGCTCGTGTGGTATCTGGAGCAAAAGGAGAATGAGTTGGAGACGCAAGAGGACCTGGAGAAGGAGCGAGCTCTAGCGAAGAAGGTGCTGAAGAAGGTTGTCAAGGTACGTATTAAGAAGCAGTCGAAGATGCAGCATGATGTGTATATGTATGTGTGTTTCAATGTGCTAACAAGATGGAAACAGGAGCAATACCTCATGATGATCCGGGGTGAAGGTCTGGCAGACGAACAGGGGCAGGCAGAAGGTAACGACAAGGTGGTTTACGTGCTGCACCCCAACTGTCCGATTGAGGACATTGCCTAGGCGGCCAAGGATTCAATGTAATCTCATATTATACCCAACTTTCAAACTACCGAATGTGTTTTTGTTTTGTTTTGCTTGTCCTTGCTCATAGAATTGTTGATGCATTATATCCGAGAAATGTGTAAATCACGTGATCATGTTACCAAGATATGTCTCGGAATTGTCTTCCCCCAAATAAACATTTTCCGTGTTGTGCTTAGGCCTTTTTGTTCTTCAAAGCCTCGACAAACTCCTTTGGTGGCTGCTGGTTATAGCCTTCTGGGTTGTTCTCTGTCCATTTCCACAGGTCTGCGCAGGCATCTTCTAGTGTGTACTCGGTCTTCCAGTCTAGTTCCTTGTTGGCAAGACTTGGATTGGCCGTGAGATCAAGCACATCGCCCTGTCTCCGTGGGGCGACTTCGTAGGGAAGGTCGCGTCCGACTACCTTGCTAAAAGCCTTGATCATTTCGATGACGGTGGAGCCCTTGCCAGTACCCAGATTCCAGGCCTTGACACCCGGCTTTTGTTCGCGCAGGTAGTTGAGGGCTTGGAGATGGCCGCGCGCCAGGTCAAGGACGTGGATGTAGTCGCGAATGGCTGTGCCATCCTTGCTGGCGTAGTCGTCACCAAAGACGAGGAGCTTATCGCGTTTGCCGATCGCAACTTGAGCCAGCAAGGGTAGCAGATTGTAAGGAACACCTAGGGGGTTTTCGCCCATGATGCCACTGGGATGCGCACCAGCGGGGTTGAAGTACCTCAGCAGGGCGGCATTCCACTTGTTGATTTCCTGTTCGCTCTTTCCAGCCTTCCTGGCGTTGTTGCGCTCAGCCTCGATTGTGTCTGTGATTGCGCCTTCAATGGTGGACTTTGTGCGACCGTAGACATTGGTCGGGCCGATGGGGCAGTGTTCGGGGATGGGGATCATGTTGGGGACGCGCGTCGCATCGCCGTAGACGGTGGCAGAGGAGGAGAAGACAATGTTATTAACATTGTGCTTGACCATGGAGGTAAGGAGGGCAATGGAGCCGCCAACGTTGACGCGGTAATATGTGAGAGGAATTTCGCCAGACTCGCCAACAGCCTTGAGATGGTGTCAGAACTGGGGCGGCGCATTGGAAAGCGGGATATGGACTGACCTTCAGGGCGGCAAAGTGAATGACATTGTCAATATCTGGGTTCTCCTCAAAGACCTTGTCGAGGGCGGCCTCATCAGTCACGTCGCACTGGTAAAAGGCAGGTCGCTTGCCGCAGATGAGCTCGATGCGGTTGATGACTTCGGCTGATGAGTTGTAGAGGTTGTCGACAATGACGACCTTGTAGTCTGCATCGAGGAGGGCGAGGGCTGTGAAAGAGCCAATGTAGCCGGTACCACTGCGCTGTGGTTAGAACTAAGGTTCCATGGGCATGGCATGATGGCGGATAGTGGGGTGGAGGGGTAGCTTACCCTGTGACAAGAACAGAACCTACAACCATGTTGGCGGCTTCGAGTGTGCAGAGTGAAGAAATTCAAGGAGAGGAGGAACAGCTCTTATAAAATCCGGCGCTGGTATCTGAATGGGAAGTTGCAGAGGTTTGGCAAAGTTAGCAATACGAGAGACTGGGTTCACGGGATGCGCCACTAATGACGCAGAAGCAGTCATGGGCGGATAGATTTCTGGATACGGCAAGGACGGACATGGTTGGAACTGAATAAGTACCTGGCCTTGTGACATGATGCTCTGCTGGTCGTTGCCGTCATGGCATCACGGATGAGATGAGAAGTGATGGGGGCTAATTTGCATGACACAGCGTTGGACCAGCTGCTTGTACGATGTGGATGAGTGGTACGCGTCGAGCCAATGCAACGCATGGGCATCAGACGGTGCAACGATGTAGACATGTGTGCACGAGTACATATGTACAACACCCGAAAAAGCAGCAAACAAAGCATTGATATTATTAAAAAAAACGACTGCTAGATGCAATGTGAGTGATTTGGTTTTTCTATAGTTGTCGCAGTTTTTAGTTTTCTGTCTTGATTTTTCTCGACAGGGAGGTGTTTGGAGAGGACTCGCCCACAGCCCAAAATGCTGGCGAGCTGCATCAAGCTGGTTTTACGTATGGGGCAGGCTGCAGATGCAAGCACCACTGGGAGTGGACATGTCGGTCTCGTGGAGGAGCGGCCGTGTGCCTACATACACAAGTACATGGCGTACCACAGCACCCACATCGCCATGCGACACAATCGCGGGACTACCATGTAGGGAGATGCAGGTACATGGGAGACGGGCAGAATCAGCCTTGTGACCTTTGGGCCTGGTGCTCCGCTGCCCCAGCCTGGGCCGGGAGGTTCATGCATCATCCATGTCTGTCTGGCGGCGGAGACGCTACATAGTCTACTTGTTAGTGTGGGAGCTTTGGCTGTTGGTGTAGGTGTAGATGTAGGTGTAGGTGTAGGTGTAGTAATAGTAGTAGTACATACTGGCGTGTCTTAGCAGGCGAGACACAGCTGCCAGTGTCATTCCTGTCTTGGTCGAGTCGTCAAAGCACTGCCATGTCACTCACCGCCGGATTGAGAGGGCGCGCTCGCTTAGTCGCCCGCTTCCGGCTGTCTGCGCGCTGGCCGAACCCTTGCACCCTCACAGCGCGACAATGAGCCTTCACCACCCCCATTATCGCCATTGATCAATACAATCAGAACTATCGCCCTCGACTCGACGAACATGGTCGCGTCCTGCGCACTCGCCCTGCCCCTCTCCCAAACCACCCCCCTCGCCCACGCGTAGCAGCGCAGTAAGCGCCCCCAGCCCCGACGCGTGAAACTGCGTACACGTGTATAGGGACCCTGCTGCAGGAACCCGCCATCAACCGCATCGCCCTCTGAGCTGTCAAAAGATCAAATTCTGCACTGCCAAAACGCGTCTGTTGTCGCAAACCGCCGTCTCTCGACCACCTGGTCCTCGAGTCCACCTGTAAGTTCCCGCCATCTCCTACCCCGGTTACCCTCGTGTTCCTAGCACCCCAGCCTCATCGCTCAGCTCGACACGCACCACTCGACCACCTCCTCACCGTCACGCCCATCTTCACGGTGAAAATTTTCATCCTCTGCTGTCGTCGCATGTCGTCGTCGTCTTTGCTATTGTTGCCGGCTCGCCATCCTCGCCATTGTCGGCTTATGCCACTGCTGGCTGTTATTGTTCTTGTCATGTTCTTCTAAATGGCCCTCGCGACTGCTTCGTTTGAACAAACCCAAACTCACCCAACACTAGTTCCCCACCTCAGCAACATCAACTGTGCCATTCCTCCTGGACCCCGACCCCGTTGGATTATTTGATGCTCAGGACGGATTCCCCGCCGAAATGTCCCAACGTGCTAATGGGGATGCCCCCACACCCTACCGTCGCTCAGCCCGTGTCAGTACCAGGGCAAGCTCAGTCGCTGAAGAATCTGCTGTCACCACTGCTACCGCCGCCGCTTCAACAAGACGCAACAGAACTACTTTAACTCAGGTCAAAGCCCGTCGGTCCAATGCTTACGGCGCAAGCGGCCGCGTTGGGAATCCTGATAAACTTACGACTGCCCCAAATACCGGTTTCTCCCAGGCCTTCAAGACCCAGCTCGACAGGTCCGGTGTTCCATCATCAGAGCAAGAGGCAGATGATCTTGACAGCATCGATGAGCTTGGTAGTGAGTCGCAGTCACACTTCTCACCTCCACTCCCACGTAACAACGCTCTAAATTCCAAAGCCGCCCCTGGCTACTCCTTTATGGAAAGCGATGATCTAGCTCCCAGCGAGGATGATGTCGCAGCATCTGTCGGCAACACCTCAAAGTCATTTGGTCTTGCTCATGAAGCCGGCATGCTAACATCCCGAGATCCGTTTGCGGCTTACCCGATACGTGATGAGCCTAGAAGCTCACCCTTTGTCAAGCCTGTCTTGACAAGCCGCAAGCCCTCCACCCGTTCCGTAAATGGAACAAGATCAAACGGATCAACCTCCGTTCAGGCTCCCCAGACAAGTTCGGTTCAAGAAAAGACGCCGACACCAACAAAAGATGTCCTCAAGACACCTATTCAAGGCCAAGCCCAAGCTAGAGCAAATGCAGAGCAAACTACTGCCCGTGCCAACCCAATTCCGGCTGAACAATCAGTCAATAATTTAGTCGCAGAAGAGCAGGCCAGATTGCAACGTGAGGGTCCACCACTACCTCAGTCACAGCGCCAGGCAGATCGACGCCGTCCCCATCGAAAGGACCCTGGCGAAGTCAATGCATGGATCGGGCATGTTGAATCATTCGAAGAGCAGGACGAGCCAATATGGCGTTGGAAAAAATCTCTTACGTGGATGTTCTGGATCCTCTCAGGCTGTCTGTTCGTCGGTTGGGTCGCTTCCACCATGATGACTTCCAATTCCACTGACTCAGCGCTGGGAACCCCTAGTTTGCTCAAAGCTGTGGGCTCTCGCGTCGTCTACACATACGAAAGGGTTACCGATGCTATTATGCCGGAAGCATATAAGAGAAATGGGGACGACACCCTCCTGTGGGGCCGGATTGGTAATATGGAGAAGCAAAATGAGAAGCGCTTTCAAAGCATGCGTGATTCAATCGATGAGCTGAAGAAGGAACTTCCTGGAGTCATGATTGTTCGCCGACACCAAGATGGGTCCACCGAGATCACCGACGAATTCTGGCGAGCCTTGACAGCCAAAGCACACTCTGAACCCGAATGGACGAAATTTCTTGAAGACACGAAAGCCAAGCTCGCTATACTCTTCGACAACGGAGCCCATAAAGAGCGCAGCCCCACCGAGAGTTGGCCTCAGGCTGCATCACGTGAAGAATTCATCAAGCTGGTGGAGCAGCGGTACGAGAGCCTTACTGCTCAGGTGAACAAGAGAATCGAGGAGGCCATCCGAACCCAGAGCACCCAGCTTAAGACGATGATGCAAACAGAAGCCAAGAAAACTATGCTGGATCAGATCCGTCTCAATGCCCTTGCACAGGCCAATCTTGTCGCCAATTACGAACTACATCTTACAAAACCTAATTACTTTTCACCAGGTCTGGGTGCCACGATTGATCCAGACCTGTCTTCTGTCACTTTCAATAAGAAATCCGGTCGCATTGCTGGACTTGCACGCCGCCTCTCGTGGGTTCCCGATCGCAACCCTCCGATTGCCGCACTCACCAAGTGGGAGGAACCTGGAGATTGCTGGTGTTCGGCAAGTTCGGACCCTGCATCACCTGGCCAGGCGCAGCTCGCCGTTCGAGTTCCTCGTCTCGTCATTCCCAAACAAGTCACCGTCGAGCACGTGCCCATGAGCATGATGCCTGCCCGCAAAATCAACAACGCACCCCGAGACATGGAGCTCTGGGTTCAGACGAACGGGCCAATCAAGCCGTATTACAGTCACCGCGAGGTAAGCTGCCGAAGCGCGCCGCCGGAAAGCGCAGGGGGTAAGTGGAAGTGCTTGGGTTCGTTCAAGTACAACATTCACGCTTCCAACCACCTGCAGACGTTTGATCTGTCGGGCGAGCCGTCGGAGCCCGTGTCCCGTGTTATACTGCGTGTGACCAGCAACTGGGGTGCTAGCCATACCTGCCTGTACCAGGTGAGACTACATGGAACGGATGCCGAAAACGATTTCGAGTATCCAGTCAATCTAATGGACTAAAGCCCCGCATGTGTATGCGTCTTTCTTGCTTTAATTTGTTCTTATTTTTGTGTTCTAAATTGGAAGGAGGAGAACAACCCAAAATGGAAAGCAGCGGAGCACCGTGACTGTTTTATTGTTAATTGGCGGGCATTTTACGATTTTTTTTTTCGCGGTTTTCATCCACTTGTATACCCCAGGATAGTTCTAGAGCATAACGAATTTACGCTTCACTTGATGACAAGTAGGTAATAGATGGGACAATATTGCTTTTCCCATTATGTGATTGTTTCTTGTTTTTGTTATTCTTTTGATGTGTCACGAAACGTATGCGGACACTAAAAGGTAAGGGATTCTATCGTACTACGCCACCCTTGAGAGTTGGAATGCTACACAGGCCATCCTTGGTCCTCAACTTGGCGACACCCGTCTTCTTATCCGTACCCTCGCCGCTCAACTGTGGCACAACACCAACATCAAAGCCCACTTCCAGAGAGTCGGTGGTAGTAAAGCCAGGCTGAATGGTTTCCCACACCTTCTTCTTGGGGTTGAGCACCGGCTCCGGCTCGCCCTCCCAGCCCTCAAAGTAGACTCGGTCACCAGCCTTGCTTTCAGCTGGGGGGTTTACCAACTCGACAGGCCCCTTGTGACTATCCTCGCCCTCTGCTACTCTTGGCGATGCGGCAAGGACCATAGCACATGACTTGACGCCGCGCATTGTGACAGGCTTGAGATTGCACACAGCGACAATCTTGCGATTCTGCATCTCCTCAAGGGGAATCAGGCCGTTGAGACCAGAGCATACAGTGCGCACAATCTGGCCTTCATACTCGGATGTGTTGTCTGTACCGGGAGCGTCGCCGCATGCAATGGTAGAAACGTACAATGAGTCGGCATTGGGGTGGGTCTCGGCCTTGAGAATGTGGCCTACACGGAGGTCGATGAGGGCGGGGGAGAGGGGCTTCTCGACGGGCGCACTATGGGTTTTCAGTCAGCATTCAAAGGCAAATGAAAGGGTTCAACAGTAGCGGACGTACGTCTTCTGGGGCTTGGGCTGCTTCTCCTTCTTTTCCTTCTTCTTCTTCTCGGTCGGTGCACCCTCAGGAATGCCGCTCGTCGGGTTACCGGCAACTGCTGATGCGACAGCAGATCCAGCTACGTCTGCCTTTGCCTTTGCCTTGTCTGCCTTGCTCTTGCCTCCCTGGCCTCCCTGTGCGTTCTGACCCTGAGCTCCAGTCAAGGTGGTAGCCGTGGCGCCCGAGGCTGCCGCACCTGCCGCCGCGGCCTCCTTCTCCTTCTTCTTGCGCTCCTTCTCAGCCTTGGCATCTACCGGCTTGATCTTGAAGATGACATTGTCTGGGTCGATGTTGACCTTGTCGTCCAGCTTGAGGCCAAAGACTGGCGAGTTCTGAACAAAGTCGATGTGGCGGACAATGTGGTGGTATCCCTGCTCTCCTGTCCTCTCTTCTGCACCCCACTTTGAGACAATGGGTGCAAGCTTCTGGTAGATGGCAATGTCGGCGACAGAGGGCTTTGCGCCAAGGAGGGTGGTCCGGCTGGAGAGGTGTGTGTTCAGCGACGACAGGCGCTCCGAGGCCTTTGCGGCGTCCTCAGAGGGAGAGGCCACGTGAGAGGCAGTGATGAGCCACTGGCTGAGCTCAGTCTTTTCGGCATCGGTGTAAGTGACGGTGGGGAAGAGGGCCTGGGAAGCCTTGACGGCGTCGGTCTCGTCGGCGGCATTGTTGGGCGCGTGCTTCTTGAGGAAGTCGACGACAGTCTCGTCGAGGGTGGCCATTGTGCCTAATTGAGGAAGCGTTGTGTGGAAAAAGTTCAAGTTGAGAGTAAGTGGCTGTAGTGGGGTAAAGAAGTCGGCCGCAAAGCTAGTAGAGGGGGTCGTTGCAGGCAAGGAGCGGGGAACTGGCAAGCGTGTCGACAAGAAGAGGCGCTGGCTGAGTCGTGCTTGTGTTGGCCGAGTTAGTCTGGCGTGAAAATTGCGAAGAAAGGGCGCAATTGAAGCTGAGGCGCGAAGAGGCATTGTTCACGTGAGTAAAATTCATAGTCTGCCGTCACCGCGGGGCGCTGAAGCTCCATCTTGTTCGTCTGGGCCCTTGAATGGCCACCACCGCCGCACTGCGACACGGCCATCTTGTTCTTTTTTTCTTTTTCCCGTCACCGCAAAATAGTAAGACTCGCTCGAGCGGGTCGTCTCTGCTTGTAGGAATGTCGTTATATGCCGGTGCCTTTTGTTCTTGCTCCTCCTCCTCATCTTCTTCTGCTTCTTTTTCTTCTTTTGCGCCCTGGCGACTCCATCCGGGATGACCCCGCCCTCTAACACTGCAATGGACATAGCACAGTATGGCATGGCATGGCATGGGTCGTGGCAAAAAAGGCTTGTTATAGCCTGCACCTCACTCCTGACTCCAAGCACACGCCTGCCGTATACATAGGCACTGGGTGACGCAACCGTAGACGCTGTTTGCTGCTTGTCCCTCATCGACCCCACGTCTGGAATCCTCTACTCACTCCTCCTTCCCCGCAACACCATCCTCAACACAGCACCAACATGGCTTCCGAAGCTTCTCCTGACGTGCCCAAGGGCCGGAAGAGATTCATTCCTCTTGGTAAGTCATTCCGCCTTGCCACGGCACACGCCTAGTAACATGCAACAGAGAACAACCCGGAGGTCATGACGGCCCTCGTTCACAAGCTCGGCCTGTCGGACAAGCTTGCCTTCCACGACGTCTTCAGTATCGACGACCCCGAACTCCTTGCCTTTGTACCGCGGCCTGCCCATGCCCTCCTCCTCGTGTTTCCCGTGAGCCAGACGTACGAAAAATTCCGCATCCAAGAAGACAAAGATAGGCCAGAATATCAGGGCCATGGCCCGGACGAAGAAGTGATTTGGTACAAGCAAACTATCGGCAACGCCTGTGGCCTGATTGGCCTGCTCCATGCAGTCTCGAATGGCTCGGCACGTACACACATTCGTCAGCAGCCCCCTCGTTACGCGGGAAGGTTTCAAGGGTTGCTAACATAGCCTTTAGAAGCCGATTCCAACCTAGCTAAGCTTGTTCAAAATGCGATACCACTGAAACCCGCCCAGCGAGCTGACCTCCTCTATGAATCCGAGGCTCTCGAGAGTGCGCATCAAAGTGCGGCATCGGGCGGAGATACCGCTGCACCCCAGGCTGACTCCGATGTGGACCTGCATTATGTTTGCTTCATCAAGTCGGACAAAAACCATCTATGGGAGCTTGACGGCCGTCGTAAAGGTCCCCTCGACCGTGGTGCGCTAGCTCCCGAAGAGGACCTTCTTAGCGACAAGGCTCTGGATTTGGGTGTGCGTAGCTTCCTCAAGCGCGAGGCCGAAGCTGGCGGAGGCGAACTGCGCTTCAGTCTAATCACGCTCGCCGAATCATTTTAGCACGACGTGAAACAATGGAAGCTCGTCAGTCTGCCCCAAGGCCGGGGCAGCCTTACACGTCATTTTCCAATAGTGGCCGCGACGGTTGGCACCACTGTTGACCAACAGTCGTGATAGCGGGGCGACTAAGTACGAGCTGCCGTAAGCAAAGCCTTCCGTGTGGCCTGGACCAAGTCCTTATTAAGGGGTGAGTGACGTTTTATTACTGTTCGAGTCGAACCAGGTACCCCAGAATTCCGGCTTGCCATGTGCCGCTGTCCTTGTCATGTTTTCAACGAGATAATCACATGGGGAAGGCCAGGAGTAGCATAGCGGTTTTCCAAAGTAAATATGCCACACCGTGCTTTAACGGAGTTTGTCTGCTAATCATATAACGGACCGTTGATGTCTTGGCTGTCTGCTCGGTCGATCTTACCCTAATATTAGTGCCGCTATGCTCGGTACCTCTTCCAGTTAATCATCATCATCTGCTTTGCTTTTTCGTTCAGTCGATCTCAACCCAAGATACCCGCGCGATGCAGCGGACGAGGAGCGCGACCCCTGCCTCCGACATCCTTCTCACCAGCATCATGTCGGCCTGTGTGCGACTATGCTGCATCTTCTTTCTTTCATTTTCCTTTGTCGTATCTGCTGTCCCGTTGAACGAACATAATGGCACCCAATACACGACACCTAACGCCGCCAACGACCGACGAACTCGAGCCATCACGACAGTGGCTCTGGCATTCTCCTCTCTGAGTATGACAGCTTCCCTGGTTGCCTTCTTCTGGGTTTGTCGCATGGAAAAACAATTTCGCCACCGGTCAGTGCTATTGTGCCCAAGTGATGCATGCGCTCATAGCTCTAGTGTAGGCTTCTTATCTTCTTGATTTGTGGTGACCTGATACGAGCATTTTGGTTCGTTGTTGGAGCAATTGTAATGCTGGCTCGGGGGCCTGTGGAGAGCACGTCGGCATATTGCCAGTCGAGCGGGTTCTTCATAGCGTTTGGGACGGAGATAAGTGGTAAGACGACATCGCCCAACTATTGACCATTTCCTCATAACTGCTCTTAGATTTTGCTGTTCTCATGATAGCGATCCATATCGCACTCCAGGTCTTTCGGCCGTCTGGTCAAGCGCCTTCGGAAGGTCTACATCCGTACAAGTACTATGTTTACGCAGGTGTCTTTTGCGCCCCGACAATATCAGCAGGCCTAGCTTTCCTCAACACCCAAGGAGCGTATCGCTTGCAGGGCGCATACTGCTTGCTCCCAACCCGCCCGTTCTGGTACCGGCTAGCCTTGGCATGGATTCCGAGGTACTTTATCATATTGGTCATCATCAGCCTGGCCATTGCGATTTATACATATGTTGGGTGGGAATTTAAGAACTACAACTCAATGAGCCGGAAACTGGGATACATTTTGAACAATGATCTCACTCGAGCCAGTATTAACATTAGCGCGTCTCAAACTAAAGCATCTCTCTTTGGTGATGGTTACGTGCCTAGCGAAGAATTTGCAACCCAACCCGCAAGCATTATGACGCAGCAAAAAAACTCGTGCTTGCACTCACGGTGTACTTCGACCACCTCTCAAAAAGCTGTCACTGTACCAGAGCGTAGGTATTCAGCCTCGTTGGCCTGTAACGAGCTCTGTGGAGCACCAGGACCAACATCTATCCTTGCCGCCTCCACCAGCCCCACCACTCCATCCTTCGTGCGAAGCACACGACGCTTCCACGGCAAGCACACCGGCCCGGCCCGGCCACCGCTAGTCTCGATACCAAGTGGACAGAATGTCGGACGGGTTGAATATGACGACAGTTTACACCCATGCGTGTCGTCATCGCATACGAACATACTGAGTGCTAGTACCCCGACGCTAAATGCCTTTCCGGGGGCTTCTAGCACACCTGAGCTTGCGCTGCTGGAGCCACCGTCTCCAGGACTTAACCGCATGATTCGCCAGCGCGCACGCATCCACCGCCAACTACGCCTTACATTCATCTATCCGATAGTGTATACATTAATGTGGGTGGCACCATTTGTATACCACTGCATGATGTACAGCGACTATTATGTGCGACAACCGATATGGGGAATACGGTTAGCAAGTTCTTTTTGCATTGTGAGCATGGGTTTTGTCAATTGTCTAGTGTTTTCGCTGCAGGAGAAGCCGTGGAGAGGGATAGCGACGAGTGACGGCACGCTGCTGGGCAGTTTTTTTGTTTGGAACGGAAGAAACGATAGATGGACGCGCAGATTGCGTGGCCGATCGCGGTCGGCTGGGGCTGGTGGGGATCCGCGAGGGGAGGTGGCTCAACGGTCATTATCTGACAGGGGGCTGTATGGACCCAGGCGGAGTATAGGGTCGAGCGCGGGTTTCTATGGGTACTCGCGGGTTGAGAAGAATTGGGCGAGAGAGAGGCTCGAGTGGGAGAGGGAAGAAAGATACCGGGTGCTGCGGGAAAAAGCCATGAAGAGAGACGCCAGTAGTACACGGACGCATTCGGTGTGCGAGAGTAGTTTCTGTGGAGATGGCAAGCATGACTTTGTGCACGACGATAATGACGGAGAAGAAATGACGGATTGGAATAGCAAGAAGCGGCTTGAGGACTTGAAAAGTTCGAATATACATGCCGAAGGCAGTGATATGAATTCTTGATATATTATGCATATAGATACCATCTAGATACCATGTAATTAATACATCTAACATATTTTGTTGGATTGTTCTTTTCTTTGCTCCATATTTGCTTGTCTTGTTCAAAAGCCATCCACATTTACCCCCCGCCCCTCTTTCAACGGCAAGTACACTTTCTCCCACAAATCGCTCTGCTCACCGAGATGATACGTCAAGCTAGCATCCTGCATACCAGGGGGCAATCCCGAAGAAGACAAAGAAGGAGCCATAGTTTCGAGTTGCGAGATGATATTTTCCAAGCCCAGAGCTTTGCCTGTCGCTTGCGTGTTTCCGGCTTCGAGTGAAACATGAACAATGTGGATGTGGAAGTGGTAGTATGTCGGTTGGTCTAATAGGATCATTAGTGTCTACCTCCTCCTGATAAGAGTAACTAAGAAGAGGGGAAGAGGGGGGGGGGGGAAGAAGAACTTACAATGCACATAAAGCTTCAATTCATCCCTCTCAATCTCCGGATACAACCCCACGGTCGCCTCCACCATCTTCTCCGTCATATGCCTTACCCACCCCACCATCTCCGTGGTCAAATCCCTCACACTCCAGATGTCCCTCCTCTCTACTATTCCCAGCAGATGCAAACTACCCATCGTCTTGCGGTCCCAGTTTAGGTCGGGGAGTAGGAGAAAGCCGTCAGACCCAGATTCGCGGTACATGACGTCTTCCTGCTCGGTGCGGCCCTCGATGATGTTGTAGACCCAGTTTAGGGCGCCCTTTTCGCGCTGGGCGCGCATGTACGGGCGGATGTAGGATGTGTAAATTTCCGGTGTTTCGGTGACGATGCGGAGGCGCTGCTGTGTGTATTTCTTGACATGTTTGTCTGTGCATGGGTAGATGAGGTTGATTTTGAAGTCTGGGGGTGGTGGGGAAGAGGCATCTTTATCGCTGCTTGGGCTGGAGTTTGCGAGGAACCACGCGTAGATGTCGTTGGCGCCGAGGTTCTTGATGTTGCGTAGAGATGTGGAGAAGCCTTCGAGGATGGCGGGCGTGGTGTCAAAGGCGGCGCGCTCGGCAATGAGGAGCGCGGGCTGCGAGTCTATGATTCCTAGTAGACTGATGCGGCGTCCGGCTTGGTCTGAGTTGAGGAGCCGAGTGAGCTTAAACTTGGGTATCAGAGATTCCACGTGGGCAGCTACTTCGGGGGGTGTTGTGGAAGTCATGCTTTCGGATGGGGTGGAGTCCTATGTATAGTTGAGTTAGTAACAACCAACAATGCAACCCAGGTAAGATTTCAACAGTCTACATATGTTGCGGCGCGTGGTGAATGCACATATCAAGGGTTCATGTTTGCTCTTTGACATCCTTCATAGAGGGTCATTCGCTAGCAAGGCTTTTTATTTTTTTTTTAAATCAAAAGAATTTCTTTGGTTAGAAGCACATATCTCCAGAAATAACATTGTGCCAGTGCCAGATCATGATTGCAATTAGAAGCGGAGGCTGACTTACGGAATGATTGGAACGGTTTGTAGTGCAAAAGCACAGAGCATGCCCGCTATCTTGGAACAATAGTGGGGTGGATTCCCTCTAGGGATCACGTGCCCGCGCGAAGTCGCGTATCACTGCGGCAACCAACCAGAAGCCCGCTCAAAGGACGCCAAGGCCGCCAGCCTGTAAGGTCACGTCACGTCATTGTTCCAGCTTCCCCTTCGTCGCGCACAACTACTATATCTCGAAGCATCGCATACTACTCGCAATATCCATCGCACATAGACAAACATGCCACCCAAAGGTAGAACTCCACGCGCGGCGACCAAATCGCAGCAGTCAACGCTCGCTTTCCATGGATCGACGAATAAGGTTACAAAGTCCGGCATCAAGCCGCAAGCCGCAAAGAAGAGCAATGTGGAGAAGAAGTTGAAAGACGCAACACCTGAACTCTTGGAGACATGGGGCGCAGAGCTTACAACGACTGAAGTGGCCATAATCGAGCAAACGGAACAGGAAGTCGAGGGGCAACGAGTGGAGAGCACTCCAGAGGAGGAACAAGCGCGGCGCATATCAGGTGCAGTTATCAAGAGGTATTGGGCAGAAAAGGAAAAGCAAAGGCGAGCGGCGAGAGTACACCAGGAAGGGTTGAGTGTCCATGACAAAGTGCTTCGAGAGTTCGACATGAGCGCACACTATGGCGTAAGTTTGCCCCAATCAGCGACCTTCTGACGCAAAACTACTCCACATGTCGACCAAATTACTGATGGCTTGGGTACCATGTAGCCATGTACTGGAATTGCTCGGTTGAAGCGGTGGAAGCGAGCGCAACGGCTCGGCCTTGACCCGCCGGTCGAGGTGCTTGCTGTGCTACTGAAGGAGCAGGAGGGCAGTGCGGGGAACAGGATTAGTGTGCAGCGATCGATTGTGGACGAGATATTGAACATCAAGGCCGAAGTTGATGTATGAGGGGTGGACGCATTCATGATACTACTATGTATGAAGGACGCTGGGAAGGTGTCACAAGGGCACGCGAGCAGGTTACTGAGCATCGAAGCTAATGTGGGCAGGCGAGTCAATGAGGCTCGCTCGAGATGAATCAATGAGACATGAAGGCAAAGTCGTGTGTATGCAGCGGGACAGACGGGTAGCTAGTGATTGCGTGGTGGGGATGGATGGATGGATGGATGGATGGATGGATGGTAGCGATAAGAAAAGTCTATTGTGATTGTGACAAGCGCAGTTTGAGGGAGTCTGTCGGGCCGTACGTCAGCATGCATTGGCTGACGAGTCCAAGGGATGGTGCAGGGGACGGCGGCCGTCGGGACTCGGGACTGGGGCACCAACAAAGACAGCCGGTCCTGGCTCGGCAACACTGCAGTTGGCGGTTGCGAAGGCGGTGCGGGGTTGGAGCGGGCAGCGGGCCATGATGGCGGGCGTAAATACATGTCGGTGTGTAGAGTAGTATGTATGTGATGTAAGTAGGGTATGTAGTCATGGGCAGAGGACGGGTGTTGGTGGTGTACAGTTTGGCGGCATATAGGCGCATCCAGACGCGGGGTTGATGGGATGGACTGGGTTGGGTTGGTGATGGATCGCCCATGGGCCGATGCAGATGCAGTGCAGTGGCAATTACTGAGCTGCGCCCAAGTGGGCCGCTTCCCAAGGCGCTGGCTGCAACTGGCCACACTGGCTGTCAGCCCGATTCCACGCTGCCGGCCGGCCATGCTCGAGAACTCTCCTCCTCCTCCTCCTCCTCCTCCTCTGCCTCCCTTGGCCTCCGCCTTATCCACCCACCCACCCACCAGACCCACCCTCTGCCTCCTTCAACTGGGTCCCCGCGAGCCTATCTTCCTACTAGTACCGTCCAACATCCATGTCCGTTTGTGACTTTGCTATCTACCATCACCGCCACGACACCTGTGCCCCCCGTGAGGCTGTCCCCCTCGCATCTGCACTCGTCCACGCATACGCACACGCACACGCACAATCAGCCTTGCTTTTGTCGGCAGGCCCTGGACCCTAGGCATACCCTGTGCATTCATCTAACCACCTACTATTTACATACACACACATATGCCCATAAAGTACTGTCGTCTGCGCCAGCCAATCCGCTCCGCTCCGTCTCCGTCCAAGCAAGCCTTGCAGCGTGGCTTGCAGCGTAGCGCTAGGTTTAGCTGAAGGAAAACGGCGCCTTTTCCAAAGTGCTGGGGGGGGGGTGGGAGGGGTGGGGAGGTCAGATAGCGGGGAACCACTAGACACGCCCATATCACTCCAACGCTGCATCCTCTTCCTGCTCCTCCCCTACCTTTCTTTTCTTCACTTCTGCCCCCAATCCCATTGATACCCTCGTCCCCCATCCCCTATCCCCATAATGCTCGCCCTCACGCTGTAGATTCGTGTCGACCACCCCCGGCTGTTGATCAACTTAGCAGCCAACGCGTGCGCAATCTGGCCAAACCCTCAACGCAGTAGGTCCCAAAAAAGCAACACACGTCGAAGCGCCCAGTACCGTATACTTATCAATTGCACGACAGAAGATTCGCTGTCACTCCACCCCGTCGTGATACACATCCTCGCCCCCTGCTTCTTGGTCCTCCTTTTTGATTGGGAAAGAGCAACTGCCCTACCGCTACTTACCTGTCCGATTGCCATCACCTACGGCCTTGCCCCAGTCACTCCTCGCCTTCCACACGCCCATTGTGCACGTTGCGCACTTTCATCCGCATCCGACTGCTTCTTCTTCTCTCTCTTCTCTCTCTTCGCCTCTAAACCGCAAACATGGCCGCTGCTGTCGCCAGCTACCCTTCTATGCCACGTCCTTCCTCGACTCCTCCACCGCACCTGTCTCTGAACACGTCATCCCGTGGCATGCCTGCTCCCATTCCTAACAAGCACATTCCAGTCTGCCCGCCTGGTGCACTGCCCGCCACGCCTCCAGCATCTCCTCCCCGCCAGGACAGCCTCATTGAGACTTCTTCAATCACCTTTCCCCCTGATGCATACTGCTCAAAGTATTCCGATGATCCACCCCTCTACACCATCACTGCAGATCGTCTGGCCCAGGCGCTAGAGCACATGGCAACACAGCCGCTTCCGAACCCTGAGCAAGTCTTTCCCTGGATGCACGGCCTCCATGCAGACAACCAGATACAGCTTGCTTTTTTCTCCTCGCGTCGCAGGAGTGGCCGCAAAGTCCCCACGTGCATTCGCAGCATCACCATTGTCAAGACCGGCGGAAACCTCTCGTCCTCCAAGCTCAAGGGTGCCATTGCCCCTGATGAGATACTTGATTCCGTCACTTCAGAAAACCCCCAATTCCTCGAATGCGATCCCAAGGAAGGCTTCTCCGTGCGCAACTTTCACATTCAGACTTGCAAGATGGCATTGGTCTCAGATATTGTCGTTTATGGCGATCACAAGACAAAGAGTGAAGACACAATAGCACTAGCCCAGAAAATCTCCAGAGCTCAGAGGCAGTATGAATCACAGCATGGCCTTTCACCATATCTGTTCAATACATTCATGCTTTCAGGTAAGTTAGATCGTGCACATACACTATATGTACAGATGATTAATGATTTCCAGATACTTTCAGTTGTGTACAGGAAAAGCACCCCAAGCTGATTGCCGTCAACTCTACTGGACAAATGACGGAAGAAGTTGTAGATTTCTGTAAGCAACAAAAGCGGGAGCTGGCAAATCACAGTGGCTAACTTGTACCATTAGTTTACTGGGAGCGATACGAGATGAGCGAAATGTCAAAGGCATCAGAAATCAGCAACAATGTATTTCTCGGCCCAACACCCGACCAGACTCTGCACCCAGAGTGCTTAGGACCAGAGGCCTACGACATGCTCATTGAAGCAACCGATCTTGCCCATGTACCCGAACCACGCTCATTGCGAGCCCTTCGTATGGGTCTGGAAAGAGTCCACCGCAAGTCAGCTTTGCACATGGAGTTCCCCTCATCAGGGAGTATCATGCCCCCCACTTGGGCACACGGAGAAATTGATGGCCTCATGGCCATGTGCAAATGGATGTACGAATTGGCCAACCCAAACGAAGTGCGGAGGTCGAAGCGAAGGAGGGAGGATGAGGATGAGGCTATAGAAATGGTCGACACTGCAACACCACGCAAGTTCTTGATCCATTGTACCGATGGCTACACCGAGACAACCCTCCTTGCCCTTACCTACTTTATGTATGCCGAAGGTCTTCCTGTTCACGACGCTTGGACCAAGCTGCATCGGGAAAAAGGCCGAAACTTCTTCGCATACCCATCTGATGTAGCCCTTCTGACAGCCATACAACCTCGCATTCTCCAGGAGTCACCACGCTTCAACCAGAGCATCCTCAATATCCCAGAGCCGCGCTGGCTCTCGAAGCTTGATGGAAGCCTGCCCAGCCGCATTCTACCCTACATGTACCTCGGCAATCTTGGCCATGCCAACAACCCAGAGCTTCTCAATGCCTTGGGTATTACCCGTGTATTGAGCGTCGGCGAGACACTTTCCTGGCCCGAGGGCATGCAGAAAGAACTCAATTGGCCCATTGAGAACTTTCTTATGATCGACCGAGTTCAGGATAATGGCGTTGATCCTCTCTGGGGCGAGTTTGAGCGTTGTTTGAAATTCATTGGTATGTATCTCGGGTCTATGTTTGTGTTGGAAACCACTAACAAGGACTTAGAAGCTGGAAGGGCTGAGGGTGGTGCTACACTTGTGCACTGCCGCGTAGGCGTTTCACGCTCAGCAACCATCTGCATTGCCGAGGTTATGAAAGAGCTTGGCCTTTCTTTTCCTCGTGCTTAGTGAGTAGCGCCTGTTCTCCATGTTGCGGTCCTAGCTAATACCTGCCAGCTGTTTTGTGCGAGCTCGAAGACTTAATGTCATAATACAACCACACCTTCGGTTTACCTATGAACTACTCAAGTGGGAAGAGTACCAGCGTCAGCGACGCAACGAACCTCTTCGCCGCGAATTAGAATGGGCCACTGTGGCGCGCGAGATCGCTCTTATGAACAAGCCTTACTCGAGATGATTTCCTTTCCGCACTCTTTGTGCACCTATTCCTATCATGACTGACGACGACACGAACCATACATGTTCAACTACCAAATTTCGAATTTGAACCTGGCCACTCGATTCTGCGGCGGGTTTTCGCCCCATGTAAGCAATACAATGGCGTTTCTGCGGCCATTTGTTTTTTTTTGTTTTCTTCTTTTAATTCTGCTCTTTTCGCATTCTCCCGTAATGAGAGCCGTCGTGTTTTGGTGGCATTGATTTTCACGAGGTTGTCAGCTTTTTGGTTTGTACCAGGAATTGGGTGTGGGTTTGGTTGCGCCTTGTCTTTTTTTGGTATATTTGCGCGAGAACCCAGCCACACGACTTGATCGTACTGGATGTATGCTATTCTAGTCCCTGCATGTGCATGGCGATGGAATGCGGGCTTTGGAGGCACCTTCCCTTACTCATCTTCTCAATACGTGTATTACTGTCTTGATCTGCTTCAGCAACATTCTCACTGCTGTCGCCGATGAGCAACCGACTAGGTTTTTGATGCGACTCTGGGGGCGTTTAGGATAGGTTCCCGTTCCTTTCAACGTACAAATTCCATCCTTTTCTCTGGTCTAAACACCATCGTCAAACATCACGTGAAAAGTTCAAACATCATCATACCAACAGCCTTGTTATTGAATCAAGTTCCTTTTATTTTATTCGCCTACTACTCTTTACCACCTAGATACCTGTATACAACAGAAAAGTCCTTTCCTTTGCAGTTTTCCGCCTGCTCTACAGCATCGTATAGTGCTCGTGCTGGTTCACCCAAAGCAAGCTTGACATCGGCCTCGGCTGCTGCTTTGAGCGCAAGCTTCAGGTCCTTGTTGGCGAGAGCTATCCCAAACCCTCCCTCGTACCCTCTACTAGCAGGCGAGCCTTCAATGACACCAGGCACAGGGTTGTTGACTTCGCTCGGCCAGCACTTGCCCGTCGCCGTATTGATCATGCCAGCTAGGGCTTTGGGGTCAAGGCCCCATTTGACGCCCATACTCATGGCTTCTGCAGTTGCAATGTTGTTGAGCGCGAGAAGGTAGTTGTTGGCCAGCTTGCCTTTGAGGCCCGCTCCGGGTCCGCCGAGGTGAACCACTCTTCGGCCCATCAACGACAATACCTTGGTCGCGCCCTCAACGGCCTCTGGTGGTGCACCAATCATAAAGGTGAGCGTGCCTGCCTGTGCACCAACAACACCACCCGACATGGGCGCATCTACAAACTTGCCTTGGCCAGTAGAGTGAGCAGCTTGCGCCACTTCACCCGATGTCATAGGGTCAATAGTCGAGCAATCAATGAAGAAGCGCTCTTTCTTGACTACCCCATCTGTGAGAAGCGTTGGAGGCTCCAGCATCTCTTTGAAAACAGCCTTGACATGCTTAGGCTCTGGCAACGACGTGACGATTGTTTCCTGTAACAGCATTAGTGCACTGCATCTAATGATGGTGGCAAGTAACGTATGCTGAAGATGAAAGTATCAGAGGATTGGCTATAATTTTTGTGTAATCAGAATAAGGGCCACGAATGGCTCCCAACTTAGATCATTGATAGAACAATTAATTCATCACAAGACATTGCGCAGAAAATAGAAGACGTTGTGTATACTTACAGAGTTCTCGGCAACTTCTCGAACGTTTTTAGCAACCTTGACACCCTGGGGATGCTCATCGAGGAATTGCTTGGTGGCTGCGGTGTTGACATCATGTACAAACAGGGTGTCTTCAGCTGGTATCTTAGCTCTGAGGTTCTTTGCCATGGGGTATCCTAGGACAAGTTAATAGATGCAGTCTTGTGAGCAACAATGGGTACTTACCCATCCGCCCGAGGCCGATGAACCCCCACGTAGCCTGCCAGTTCTGGGAGTTCGAGAAGCATCTTCGTGTACTTTGGCGTGCTGCAAATGGTACCGTTCTTCGCACAGGCGAAGCAAATGCTGATACTGTCCGCATTGTGTAGTCGTGAAGGGTAGGCGTCGTGGGGTATCGTCAAGATGCGAGATGCACTACAGAGAGCGGTTGGAAGCGGTCTCCGCACTCTTGGATTGCGTTCAGCCGAGGTCACGGTCTCCGGAAGCAGCTGCAGCCTTGCAAGGCACTGGGGCCATGTTTGCATGCATGCTGAAAGAGTAACACCGTTGCCGGTTCGTAATGCAATGAAGTGGCTATGCCTAGTAATCCTGGCGAGGATTGGTGCTTCTAGGAGTGCTGGTTAGAAGATTGGAGAAAATCTGCGGGCTGGTGGAAAAGTATTTCCGGCCGAAGAGGCGCTAAGCTTGATAGGTACATGCTAAGATGTACTCATGGCCCTCTTGGTGCGACCCCAATGAAATGTATCTCCTTTGTGAGAGTATAGATGGACCCATTTTAATATTGAATTAAAAATGTGTTTAGTAGATAGCCTGCAGAAGTGCTCTGGCAACTCGAGCAATCCTCAGGTGAATATATCGAGCGAAGATTTGCACACCGACATATATGCAACTTTCAGTGACCCCTTTTTTCGCTCTTTGAAAATAACTTCTCAGAATACCTAATGTATTATTCTGAGCTTTCCGGGTCTGCTGCCTTGAGTAGAGCTAGGTATTTTTGTAGCGAAATACGCAAGGTAGTTACGGATATGATGGCTTAGTCAGCTGCCGTATCGCATCATGAACTTTTGTCCGCCATTGTGATTCAACGCCGACCGCAACCCAATATGGCCGTCACACTCCTGAGGGGCCTTCTAAGGCCATCAATTCTCTCGACTGCACAGTTCGCTCTCGCGCGATCAATACGGCCTACTTTCGCTGCCCCCGCTTTCGAAACCACCGCTTCAGCGTTCGTAATCCGCCCGCCACCGTCATCGCGCGCCCACAAATGCACATTGATACAAGTGCTACGACAAGGGCGAATCGCACAAAAAGCAAGAAAGCTCCGTTCACCGCAATTGAAAGACCGACCGGAGCTCAAGGGAGTGTGCCTCAAAGTGGGAACAACCAAGCCTAAGAAACCAAACTCGGGAGAGAGGAAGATTGCGAGGGTCAGGCTGAGCACAGGCAAGGTCATCACCGCATATATCCCTGGTGAAGGTATGGCATGCACATCTGTAGACTTGCAAAACCTTGGGCAATGCTAATGGGACATTAGGACACAACGTGCAGCAGCATTCTGTAGTCATGGTGCGAGGTGGACGAGCACAAGATTGTCCCGGTGTAAAATATCACTTGGTTCGAGGAGCGCTGGATTTGGTAAGCACTCGTTCCTTGCTAATAAAAACTGGGTTGCTAACATGTATTAGGGTGGTGTTGGTAACAGAATTACTGCTCGATCAAAGTACGGCACGAAGAAACCCAAGACTGCATAAGCTTGTAGAACGTAGTTTAAACTTGTATCATCATACCTTTGGCATCAACGGCGTTGGGAGATACCCTGGGCAGAAGCGTCATGGCCTTGTCTCCAGCCTGGGCATTCTCCATAAGTGGTCGGCCCTCAGAGAATATACCTCTTCTCGAAATGGAAATATGCAGCCGTGTTCTCACTCAACGCTCCACATGCTGCCATATCTGTCGTGCCAATACCCTGCCGTGTGACTTGCAAGTGTGTATTATAATTGTTGTATTGACTATAGAGTGGTTCTCTACAGTAGCTAGATACGATAATTTGCTTGGTGGTAGTGCAGCGGTCAAATAAGGGGAAATTAAGAAAGCGTCTTTGGCGCTAAAACTTAAAAACTCCTGCCTGCCAATGGGAAGTTTAAAAGAAGGTTTAATTTGAATGCAGAAACGGTCTTCAGAATCTCAGAGTGACTTTTGTTTATTAGATAGGGAGAGATTCGAACTCTCGATCGTGCGAATTCCTCAGCATTGTGATAAAAGAATTGCATGTATAGGCAAAAAAAAGTTCCAAAAACATACGACAGCGGGGATTCGCTAGTGGTCACCCACCTAACTACTAATCCGCCGGTAAACTGCTTGTATAGGGCAGATCGGACGGGATGCCTAATTCTCAGTTTCCTCTGGTCGTATGTACTAGAGTAGTGAAAATGGATATAATATATCTGCATAATTCAATGCTTGCGTTCTTTGTCGAGTTTGATTTTCAAGAGAGCTCACGTGACGTTATCGATTTTCTAAACCTAGCTTGGCACTGCTGCACGAATAGCAAACACCTACTTTACACCCCCTTTCGCACGCTATACAGCGGATCAAAAGTTTCAAAGAGCGAGGCATAAATCAATTTTGTTTCATCTCAGCCATTTAGGGGCTTAGGTGTGCAATTCGTCTCTGGCAATTACCCAATTACATATAATATAGATGACCAGACACCTAACCACACCGCAGGCAAGTGAACATGCTGCCACACATATTCGTGTTTGCCATGTGTTCTTTGCGCCAAGTGCTTAGAGGCCAAGAGACATCTGTTTACTTTCACATTGCCCATGCGTTTGGGGATACTTGTTTGTGTTTCTACCGCAACAGGTAAAAGCCGATGTGTTGTCGGATTTGGTCCGGCCTTTTTGCCCGGATAGTACATAGGTTGCGGGGATGGGGATGGGGCGGAGGTTTGACTAGGTCGCCTGGGCTACATGTTAGCGTCGTCCCCACGACTGCCGCGTCAGGACGACCAACTCGCAGCCCAGCCCAGAGCTGATCCATCAAAGCGCTTCTTGTCGATATCTCATCAGGGCGTCGCAGCCTCGTATTTGCGCGTTTGTGATCGCCATGTACCAATTCCAATAGTCGCTAGATCTCTGCACTTCCTCAAGCTTCAGATATCCACGGGGATCCGTAAACCGTCCGTAATGGTGTCGCCCGGCGCGTCCACCAACGCGACTTCGTTCTTACCATCGTCGGCAGATCTGCTCATGGCATTTCCTCGTCTTCTCTCCAAAGTTAGTTCTTTGGGCGACATGATGCGCGCAGGGGGTAGCGTGATAGCAGAGCCAACGGCGAACCTAACCAACAATACAATAACTTCTACAGTTTCTTTTATACAAGAGTCTCATTCTACAGCCGCTGCTGCAGTGGCGGCATCTTCAGAAAGTGATATGACGGTGTGGCAGGCTTTGAGAAATGTAGCGACATGGTTCAGCTACATAACATCAAAGTGGGCAATTGCTACGTTTGCTATTGTAAGTTGCACACGAGTCTAGGGGAATAATGGTCCTTTGCTTATCGCATACACACAGGCAATTCTCTTGAACCGCACTCACTTCTACGGAAACAGCCGTATACCTTTATCTTTCGACCGCCTCTACCTGCGTTTCACTCTCTACGTTATGCCCCTGATGTTGTTCCTATACCAAATTTCGAATGTGCTCCGAGCGATACGATGCCAAACCTCACCGGACTGGTCAGAAATGCAATATGGAGCAAGTGGTAGACATCTGGATACCGATTTCGGCGGAGAGGGTGGTTTTCTCTGGCGTCTTGCATTGTCAATCTTATTCTGGGAAACTACAGAAGAGTCTTGCTACGCTGTGAACATGCTTCCACAAGATTCATCGGCAACAAGAGATTCTGGGTCGCTAGCTCTTCTTTGGCCCATATTTCTGTCCTTGGGGTTTGGCCAATTTATCGACACTCTAGCTTGCGCTCTTCAAGGCAGGCGCCCTATTCAAGAAGTTGGAATGACTCTCTTCGAACACTCACTTGCATTCGCCGAAGCTGAGGCTGTTGTTACTAGGCCGTTGGCTGTCGATTCAACACGCTTCTTCAAGCCAAAGCCTGTATTTGCACCGAACGGCACGTCGCTCATGCTGCAGAGAACGCAGCTCTCCAAAATTGCTAACGTTCCTCCGGAAGTTTTGCTTATATCTCTTATATCAAGTGTTAGCCATTTCACAAGCAACTTGTTAGCAATCGCAGGAGTGCGTTCAAAGTACCGACTGATCACTACCACAATCTGGGGACTGGCATACATTTCGGCTTTCGCTTGGAGCTTTGCTCGCCTCACATGGATGGTCGCTGATCCAGACAATTATGTGGGTATCTTGAGGTTTCCCACTGTGTGCATCATCGGTTTCATCCCTCACTTGTTGATTATACTTGGTATGATTGCATGCGGCGTTATCTACTTGCTAGCTCTTCTCATCACAGCGTTTTCCCTTCCGGCAAGACAGGCTGAATCTTTCACACTGCGCGAGAGATTTGCAGCTGCCTACAGCAACCTCCACGCCAACATCCATTTATCGTCAGTCTCACCTTTGACAATTAACTGGCATGAAGACTTTTATACTACCATTCTCAAGGTGGGCTACGTGATTCTGACTGCCGCGAGTGAGGCAGTCTTTTTGAACGAAGGCACCAAGGTCAACGTGCACGCCATGACCTGGCTAGAGAAGCAGCGGCTGCAAGAAATCCTTGCTCGTCGGAGAAGACGTCGAGAAATGCTCGTCGACATTCCAGCAGAGCTCAGAAATGATACATTTGCGCAAGGCGTTGAGGTGGTCGATCAGCTCAATGACGGAAGATCAGACGCATCAACTTCAGGCTATGCAAAGGAGCGGAAGACTAGGAGCACCAAAACATCTACTGACCCTTCGGGTTCCATGGGACATGATGACCCAGCCCGCCACCAGCGCGGCCGCTACGTTCAGACTTATAGATTCTTCGTTCGTATATCGAGGCTAGTCGTCCTTGGTGTCGCAAAAGTTACAGGCTGGTTTCTGATGAAGGTTGGCATAAATTACCGGCCGATGTGGCTGAGACGTGCTGCTGGCGCTTATGAAGCCGAGAAGGTATACTCGCTAGCATCGCGTTCAGATCGGACATCAGCCAGCCAGTCGTGGCTTACCTTGGATAATCGTAATCGGATTCGTCAGGACCCAACGTTTGATGTCGAATCGTTTGCAAAAGAGAGACTTCGACAGAGCGGCTTCTACTCTGAGCCGGATACGGAAGAATCGGAGGAACGTCTCGACGACTACCTTTACTCTTGGTGGCGCAATGGCGGTCTTTGGAACGAAGTCGACAACAGCAGAGACTATGTTATCGCACAGGACGATGATACTACTAGTGTAGTTTCGTTCGCCACCACGACTGACAATGACGAATGGTCTGATGTTGACGATGGACAGAGAACACCGACGCGCGACACATATCGGCACAGTCGCGAGGAGACACCCTCAGTCGATGACGCTATGGATTTCTCACGCCTTTCGCAGCTCCTCGATCCGAAAACAAAAGCAGATCGTGAGGAGGCCAAGTTACTATCAAGACATCTTCAGAGTCCCAATATCATGACGCGTTCGCAATATCGTAAGGCTCTGGAGCGAGATGAAGCCAAGGTTTTGACAACATCACGTTATCAGGTGGGCGGCGACATAGCAATGTCACCAGAAGAAGAGGAGCAGCTCCTTGAAGACTTCATCCTCAGCCGCCGAAGCGCCACAGCACCGCCGGGCGGGAGCAACGCTGGCAGCTGGGATACAGGGGCAGAAGGCATGGGCTCTGAAGGACCTCAGTGTGTAGTATGCCAGATGGCACCGAGAACGGTACTGGTATGGCCCTGTGGATGTCTGAGCTTGTGCGATGAATGCAGGGTGGGGCTGGCGTCGAAGAACTACACGACATGTGTTTGCTGTAGGACGAATGTAGCGGCATACTCACGGCTTTATGTGCCATGAAACTGTCGTGACATCTCTTTCGTTGTTTCCTAGCTAAGCGTTGCTACATGTCTTGTACATACATATCTGAATGAATGTTCTGCACGGAGCACTTTTCAACAAAGTCCAAGAAATGGCTCTCGATGGGCAGAAAGAACGATTACCCATTGAGCATCGAGACATATCGGAGTCAGCTCGATCCGATGGATAGGCAGTGGGGCGGCGGCCTTGAACAACCAGTGTTACCTCAGCCTACCCCACGTTCGAGTTCTCTATCTGCGAGTGGCGATCGTCATCTCTTTCCGTCACAACTCCTGTCTTGGCAAACGAGTCATCAAAACTTCCGCTCTGAACACACTCCTTCTGACAACCACACCCATCTAACGCTCAATTACCCGTGCCCGCACAAAATCAAATCTGACTGAGCATTTCCAACAAGCTCGGTCAATCGCACATATCCAAGAAAACAACTCAAAGTTTTATGCAGCCAGAGCCCACAAACGTATCGCAACGCGCCTCCCAGCAACACGCCACCTTTGACGCCGCAACCACTTCCCAGCATGGACACCGTCGCAACGATGACTTGCAAGACTCTCCGCAACCACACTTTGGTGGGCTGTGGGGAGATCCTGGAGTCCCAGTCGGTACACCTGCACGCGATGCAACGGATTTGCCTCAAGTCACCAACGGCTTCACCCCTGTGGAAGCCAATGGACTGAAGGGCGGTGCGCGACCCTCACCACCCCCGAGGGACAGGATCACCGAATATGAAAACGCGCTAGCCAACTCGCCACGAAAGCCTGCTGATGGCCCTCTTTTCGAAGTGGTTAAAAGCAACAGAAACCCAGACGATAAGAGCAGTCCTATCGCGAAGCTGCCGAATGGTGGGTGAAAAACTGTTCTGCAAATACTCTGCAGCACAATGATATATCAGGCTAGACACTAACTTCGTACAGAGGTACTTATCCATGCTATTGCGCATCTTTCACCCAACGACCTTGCCGCCGTCTCACTTGTTTCTCGCCGTTTTCACGATGTCGTCACTACTCCGCACGCATGGCAGGTGGCTTTTGGTCGCTCTTTCCCAGGTCCACACGCGCTCGAGGACGCGCAATATCGTTCAGCTTTGGAGGACAGCGGCGATGCTGTACGGTCTGAGAAGAGGAGGTTCACTAGGCTTACTGCATTGGCGTCGTGGAGAAGCGAGTATATTTTGCGAACAAGACTTCTACGATCCCTAGTCCGAGGCAAACCCGTTCAAGTACCTACGACACCGTCCCGCGCTGGCCAAATGCAGACGGTCGCCCCAATGATCACCTATGATGCCAAGACATATACCATTATCAATCACCTACATGCAACATTTGGATCCGGTCTAAATAACAAAATGCCTCGATTCATTCACGGCGCAGACGATATTGGCATGGTAACTAGCAGCGATCCAATGGCTGGCAAAGTAGATCCTTGGGGCCAAAGTGATCCTCACTTTTACGCCCAGTTCGCAGAACGTTTCCCAGGCGTTGCTGAATGGGGATTAGGTTCTGGAGAGATCGTCGGGTGTCCTAACGTAATGGACATATCACAACCCTACGGTATGATATACGGTCAGGGCTGTCCCGAAGGCTCCTGCTACTACCGTTCACTTGAAGAAATGAGGGGTCGCTTCATCGCCGAACCCACCGATCTTAGCATGCCAGAAGCTGGTATACCCAAGCTGGGTACTAATGTAGGTGCCGCATGCAGTGTCTGGATTGCGAAATCAAACACCATTCCAACGCTTTCCGAGGGCTTGATTGGTATGATGATTGGCTCTGCAACTGGTGTTGTCAGTGCTTGTAGCATTGGCACAGATGGTCTCCGTTCGTCTCGTGTACAGCGCGGTGAGTTAACCGCGCGCTGGGTTCTCAGTCCAGGTGTACCCATCATTGCTATTGCTGTGGACGAGCAATGTTCTTCTAAACGCTATGCCCAGAACCGAATTTGGGCAGTCGCTCTGAACGCCCTTGGTGAGCTATTCTATCTCACCAAGTTCCCAACTCGTAGTCAGACTCCAAAGGGCGATGTCGGACAACATTCCGAGTACTTGGCATGGCTGACTGGCCGGAGCGTGTATTGGAACATTGTTGAACCCAGCAGGCGCAGTGCGAGACCCGATCCATACAGCGATGCTGAAATAGACGGGAGTTACTCACCTCGTACATCATGGGATGGCATGTCCCTGAGCAAAGGGCAGATTGCTGCAGAGACCAAAGAAATTCAGCAGTACCTGCAAAAGCCGCCGAAACATTTCCGTAAAGTATGTCTCGGATGGGATATGCGTAGAAGACTCGAGGTCGACTTTGCCGGCGATGATGGCAACGATGCTGGCGAGGCAATAGTTATGTTTGAATGCGGCTTGGAAGAAGGTGACGCTGCTAACATCACACGCTTTACTCGATGCAAAGCAGATGAGAAGGATCAGAGTTCAAATACGCCAATCCAGATACCGACAGCTTTGCCTACTCAGACATCTTCATTGTTTGGCGGCGTAAGCCCAGAGGTCCCGGGTCTGGCAACTGTCTCGCCGCGTATTCGCAGCCTCTCGTACAAATCCACGACTAGTTCCCCCGAACGAGCAAGTCTGGTGGAAGAGTGGCGGTGTTCGAAACTTGGATTTGGTGGCTTCAAGAACACGCAAATCACCACGACTACTTTAGATGCTTCTACATTTGCCACTCTCACTCTATCCGAAGACCCTGCGCTCGGGTTCTCGACCACGTCGACTGCATCTTCGCCGTATGCCTCGCCATTATCAGTCGCAAGCCAGCCTTCCTCCCCGTCCGACATACCAGGTCAACGTGCACGATATATAGCTGCTGGTACAAAATCTGGCGTCGTGCTCCTTTGGGATATCCGATTACCCGTGTCGCGTTCTGCGGAGTTCAAAAACATCATTGAGCCTATCCGTATCATCTACACCGACTCGCCGGAGATTTCGTGCTTGGCAGTCACATCTCTGTATCTTGTCGTGGGCGGAAACGATGGTCTGGTGCAGGCCTGGGATCCTCTCGCTTCAACTATGTCACCAGTTACGACACTGCACTCACGCCACGCCTCGCGTGCTCGAAGACAGCTTGTACAGGCCCAAGCTTCTGTTCAAGGTGTTGGGATCAATATGTTTGCTGCCGGCGCTATATACCTAGATCCCGATCCAACAGTTCTGCGTGGTGCTGTGTCGCTTGGAAACCAGCTCCGCTTTTGGAGCTACAGCTCTTCTGCGGCTGATCAGTACAGAAGCAGCAAGCGCAAGCTTCGGCGCGCGGAGCGCGGAAGTAACAACACCGGGGAGCGCTTCCCTGGTGCTGGCCGGGCTAATCTGAAAAACTACATCGCCAATGAGCAGTTTGAATTGGAACGTGACAGATTAGAACGCCACAAGCAAGCCGAACATCTGGCGGGGCGCTTCGGTACGGAAATGCTGAGTGAAGAAGAGGCACTGGCGTATGCTGCGATGCTTTCTCAGGAAGCAATGGAAGCTGAGGAACAGCGCCGTATTGAGCGTGAGATGAGTGCATTGAGCAGTGAGACTGTGACTCCGGAGTCTAGTGTCAGGGGCCAGGCCTCAACATCCGTTCTTGAAAACGACGAAGAGCTTGATGCGGATATTGCCGAAGCCATACGCCTTTCTCTCAACGACAACCAAGATCCTGACACGTTTACATCTACGTTGACACCTCCGTCTGCCTATGACATTCCGATTAAGTATGCTAAAGGCAAGAAGAGTTCGCCTGCACGCTCTCGAAACGACACTCCCCAGAAGATAATGGCTGGATCAAGCATCGAAAACGAAATGTCAGATCTGGAGTTTGCAATGCAGCTTAGTCTTGCCGAGGAGCAAAGTAGGAGAGATGCCGAAGATGCCTTTCCTCCGCTCAGTCCTGCAGCTGGTAGGAAGGGTAAGGGAAGAATGTGGTGATTGTTTCATGCTGTATCTTTCTGGTTGTAGTTCTCTTCGTAGCTGGCTTTTTTAATACCTTTTTGATTTCTGTTATCCTCTTTTCTTTACTCTAGAAGGTACCATGTACAGATATCCTGCACCAGTTTCGGGCTTGAAATAGTAGGTAGCCTGCGATGTATGCGCCTTTAGTTGAAAATAAAATTTACCCATTTGAACACCATTTTTTGGCGCCTTCCCTGTTTGACTCATGTCGGCGCTCTATAGAGTTAGCGCTCTGCGGCTCAGAAGGCCTACTGTTGATATTAGGCTACAACGGAGACATCTGCCCTGCAAGGCGCCCTATGGTGCGGGCGTTAAGAACCTCCTTGTTCTTTGCTGGTTCGCCAGCAACCTCACATAAAAATCATCAGCCCGTCTTTCTACTTGGATGTCAATATGACTGGCATCTCAGTCACATCAACCGCCGTTTCATTTCTCAACAAGCTGCGCGGAAAGTCCAACCCATACGAAAAGGCTCATCCCACTCAGTCCAATATCACTTTACCGAACAACACTGCAAATCAACCGCGAAATGCTGTCCCACAAAACGATCTGCTCGCAGAAGCACGTGAAGCAGCGGGTCTCGACCCAGTCACAGGTCGTCGGCGCACACATGTGGCTCACCAAATGCTCAGTCAACAGCAGCCAGCACCATACGGTGCTAGCCAGACGCCTGCAGAACAAAAAGCAGCGTATCTGGCATGGGCGGCACAGAGGCCGCAAGAGAGGGGGCGGCCATATGGCAGTTACGAGGAGTTTGTACGGGAGATGATTGAGAAAAGGGATGGGAGGAGGGACGCTGCGGGTGGTTTGTCGAGTTATTACGCGCCGGAGAGGAGGGTGGAGGAGTATTATTCTCAGGCACTGAGGAACTAGGTGACTTTGTATCGATGTGTATTTTTCCTTACTGTTGTACTTTACAGGGTTCTAATTTGAATGGATTGGTTGGAGCTGGTATGCAGAGTCCATATCTTTTGGGTGTGGGTGGAGTAAAGCAAACAAGGGAAGAGAGGTAGTAGATAAACATGATACCCGATATGTAATCACATGACTGTTCTTTCCTTCACTCGCGAGTGTGCATGTAAACGCTCCATTTTCTCTTTCACTTCCCAGCTCGATTCCTTGATACAAAATAAACACCCCACCCCCATCACCCACATCACACTTTCTAGACGCTTGACAAACAAACCACACCATAGAACCTCCATTCTACCTACTTATCTGTCAGCACCTCAAGCATCATGGGCTCCGTAATGCTGCAGCACCTCCCTTCAGCATGGCACGTCGACCAAGCCATTATCACCGAAGAACGACGCATAGTGTGTCTCCGCTTCGGCAGCGACGCAGATCCAACGTGCATGGATATGGACGAGAAGCTGTATAAGATTGTGGAGAAAGTCAAGGATTGGGTTGTTATTTACCTCGTGGATAATCAGGTATGCTTTATCCTTGTTCTTTCACTTCCTCGTTCCTTCCCAACAAACCACTCTTTCCTTTCCATCGTCGCTTATAGAATATGCCTTCTTTGTGCAAGTACAAACCAACTGACTTCTTTGTGTATAACGCAGCTAGTCCCTGACTTCAACGCCATGTACGAAATCTACGACCCCTGCACTGTCATGTTCTTCTGGCGCAACAAGCATATCCAAGTCGACTTTGGAACGGGGAATAATAACAAGATCAATTTTCCCATTAGCGACAAACAGGAGCTGGTTGATATACTCGAGACTGTGTATCGCGGAGCGAGCAAGGGCAAGGGCTTGGTTGTTAGTCCGAGAGATTATTCTACGAGGTGGGCTTATTAGGAGAGGCTATGGAAAACAGATGGGAGATTGGGAAGTTATCAAAGAAAAGGAGACACTTTCGAGGGGAAGTGCAGAAAGAATATCTTGATATGAAGGCTGAATGGAACCAAAATCTTTTCCTTTATTACAAGTACCCTAGAAGAAAAAACCTGCTCTATATGATTGATCAGACAGACACCTGGTGCCAAGTCTAGCCTATCAACACCTTGGAATAGATTTTGCATGCGCCATCCAACGCCTTGCCATGCAAAAGATGACGAGACCCTCAATCCTCGCTATGAACGAAACAAAACAAGACCAATAATGACTGCGTCATCAGCCCAAAATGCGCAGTGACTCAGCCTCTAGATTAATGCTTGGAAGAAAACAAGTGCAGCTTCTTCTTTTTCTTCTCCTTTCCATCCTTTTCTTCTTTACCGGGCTTTGTGCTGCTCTGTGACGGCGTCGGACTATGTTTGGCGGGGTTGAGATTCATGGCGCCCATGGCTGCTGTTGGAGGCTTCGGGCCGCCAACTCTTGGTCCAGATGGCAAGCCTCCAGGCATAGGTGGCTTAGCACCAGCGGGAGGTGGCGCTGGCTTTGGCGGCTCCGGTTTCTCAAAAAGATGGTCCGGGGCTTTTGGTTGGGGTTGGTCGATAGGTAGGTGCAGGTTGCGGCGGTTCTGGCTAAGGTCACCAACTTGGCGTAAGAAGAGTTGAGGCTTCATCATGTGTGAGGTGACAAGGAAGACATCGCGCGTCGTCTTACTGGAAACATCGTAGCACGCGCGAGATTCCGAGTATGTTGCGCCACCAGCCATGAACACAATGACACGTTGTCGTGGTTCTACACTGGCTAGTCGTGGCTTGGCCCAGGTTGGTTTGGCAGCGCGAAGAGAAGTAGGAGCGGCATTGTTCTCTGGTGCCATGCTAGCTGCATCTTCAGGCGACATCTTTGTAAAGGGAAAGATGTCTTGAGGAAGCGTCCCGCGAATGTGTTCTTCTAGCATATCCTGTAATGCCGGGTTGAATCTTGACAATCCATAGTCTTCTTGGTTTGGTGGCGGCGCTGGCTTAGGAGGGAAAAGAGGTTGAGGCGCATCTCTCTTCTCCTTGAGCTGCCTCGCTACTCGCGCTCCGAGCAGATCAAGGTTGCGGATGACTTCGCCGTCAGGTGGTGGCAGCTGTGCGTGAAAAATGAGCTTCTGCAGGTCGGCTGGCAGTATCCCGTTCTTAAAGAGGACATAGAGGGCGATGAGGCGCAGTCTATCAGCTGGTGTTACTTCATCTTCGTCCAGAGTCCGGACGATTTGATCCGTCATGTTCTTGGGCTTCCGGTAATCTTCGTCAAGCCCAGTGGCCAGACACTAATAAGTCAGCAACAATTGCAGTATCGAAGCTTGGATGGCTTACCTGCTCCACCGAGGCTAGGTCTGGTAGCTTGTGCTTCTGGAAGATTTCCATGCATTTCTGCGCCATGGTAAGGTGCAATGAATACGCTTCCTTCATTTCTTGGAATTGAGGCAACCCAGCAATCATGTCCTTGATGGCGTTGAGGCCATTCATACCTGCGGCGTTTTGGGCGTCCTGGTTTGTGAAGTGGGGATTGTCGGCGATGAACTTTTGGAAGTCGCTGATGAGTTTGTCGAGGGTGTCCTTCATGTGTCGGTGACGGTTCTCAACCCATATCTTGTCCTTGTCAGAAATCTCCATGTCTTTTGCCTCTGAACCAGGGTCCTCTTCGTTGACGTTAGTCCTGTAGGTCACCTTGTCGTTGTCTTGTATGGGCAGCAGGTCCATGGCCATTGCCTGATATGTAAACTCGTGAACGAAGGGAGCCATGAGATCCATGGACCGGTCGGTGATGAAGAGTGCACCGCGGGGCCGGTTGGATTGGGGAGGGAAATCTTGGTTGTACTGGGCGTACATATCGAGCTTGTCTTGCACGAAACGCGCAAGGTGTGAGCATAAGACGCTGGCCTCGTGCGTAGGACTTCGGGGTCGGTAATATCGTATGAGGGGATATTCGCCGAGCGCAACGCATACTCCTGTGATCTAGGAAGCGTCAGCCAAAGTTGGATACCAGACCAAGCTTGCCTACTCTTTCAGCAATATCCTCCATGTGCCGAACCACGAGGTTGTTGCATTCTGGGTGGTAGAGGATGGGAAAGCTCCAGGGGTCTTTGAAGGTGACGAGGTTGGACTCCTGGGGGTGGAAGTCGAGGTGGACTGTCCGAAAGCTTCGAATCTGTTCGCGCGCCATTGGCGAGCGGTCTATGCGCTCCTTGAGGTGTGGAGGGAGTACTAAGCGCATCAGCCTGAAGCCCGTGTCTCGAAACCACAGTGCCCTTACGTGTCGTCCAGATCAAGAAGAAGCCCCTGTACCGCCGCTGGTCGAACTCGGCCATCATGCAGTCGACAATATGGGGCTTTGGGGTGAGGATGTATACGGCATCCATGTCTCGTATGTGCTGCCGCCGGTCTTCGATGCGCTCGATGTCTGCAGGGAGTCAGGAGGCATTGCTGGAGAGCGCAGTGCAGAGGGCGTACTGGTGATGTTAAGGTTGAGGATGTCATCTTCCTTGACCACGTTGTTGATGAGCTTCTGGCTGTACTCGTCGACAATGAGTATCTTCCACTGGGCACCGTTAGCTGTGCTTGGGCTGCACGGGGGGAGGCTTGTCGCACGTCGCCGCGGGTGGTTTGTCGGATGGCGTTGAGTATGACTAGAAGCGCATGTATCAGTCGTTGTCGTCTTGCTAGTGCGAGGTGCCTGGTCGTGTCTTCGTACGTTCTTTCTGGATGTCTATCATGGAGGCCATACTGGCGGGGTATGGCAGGCTTCCTGCCGCCGCGGTGAGAAGAGGAGGACGAGAGGAGTTCACAAGAGGATAGGTGGCTCTGTGGTGACTATATGCTGGGCGCGCGGGCGTAGTGAGCTGGACGCCAGCAATGCGCAGTGCAGGGTTGGAGGGCGAGGGTGAAGGTTGGGGTCTGGGATGTGGGGAGCGCGTCGCAGCTTGGCCGTTGGTGTTGCAGCTGCGGCCGCGGTGCCCTTGCCCGCCGGAGGTCTCTGAATTGGGGCTTGGCCTAACTTTTTCTTAGTACAGTATGCACTACGACTAGACATGACATTGTCCACTGGCAAACTGACATGCTGCCCGTATTTGCCCCCGTGCATGCTGCACCCTACTTCCTCCTCTCTTAATTCTTCTTTTTCTTTTTCTTTTTCTTTTTCTTCACTCTTTATCAACCGCCCACACCTCTCTCGGGCATGCTTCCCCCGCCAGTGCGGCGGAATTCGCTGTGTTTCTTCTGCGCATTCGCCGCCCGCTCACGTCTGCAACCACCACGCCTCCTCCCAATAATCCAAGTCGCGCATCGAAGCTCTCCTTCCAAACGACCAAACAATTCTGGCTCACATATCTCTCTCCGACTCGCCAATCCCTCCCGCTCAGATGGCGCCAGGCCTGGCTCCCGCATTATCCAGGAAAAGTTGCTCAAAGTCGAGAAGGATTTAGCAACGCCAGAGTACCTCGAGAGCCTTCACATCAGCAAAGACGACTTCGACCTCCAATGGCGCGCCTTTAAAAAGTCCATCGACGTCCAGATCAACCGGAGGACACCCGAACTGCAGACACTGGTTGGTGAGGCCAGGCGGGGCAAGGATACGCTTCAGACATGGCTGCGATACCGCTTCTACTCGCAGATATTTGGCGGAAACTTCACAGTAGCTGAGTTGGAAAACCAAAAGGAAGTAGCCGACTTGCGATATCCCGCCGAATGGTATCCAGCCACCCGAGAGATTCCACGTACCGTACACATGCACGTTGGCCCCACCAATTCAGGCAAGACGTATCATGCCCTCAAGCGCCTTGAAGAAGTAAAGTCCGGCATCTACCTCGGCCCATTGCGCCTCCTCGCCCACGAAGTCTACACTCGCCTGGATGCAAAAGGAAAGGCATGTGCTCTGGTTACTGGCGAGGAACAGCGCATGCCGCAGGGCGAGCGCGCCTACATGTACAGTTGCACCGTCGAGATGGCTCCCCTCAACACGCACTTTGATGTCGCCGTCATAGACGAAATACAGATGATCAGCCATCCGGAGCGAGGTTGGGCTTGGACCCAGGCTTTCCTTGGTCTACAGGCCAGAGAAATTCATCTCTGTGGAGAAGCCCGCACAGTGCCATTGATGCGTGAGCTTTGCGCTCTTGTTGGCGACAAGATCCATGTCCACGAATACAACCGTCTGACCCCCCTCAAGGTCGAACCAAAAAGCTTGGGGGGCAAGCTCAACAAACTCCAAAAGGGCGATTGCATTGTCGCTTTCACGGTTCTGGGTATACACGCTTTACGGCGAGAGATTGAAAGGAAGACGGGAAAGAAATGCGCCATCGTCTACGGGAGCTTGCCACCAGAGACAAGAGCTCAACAAGCTCGGTTGTTCAATGACCCAGATAACGAGTACGACTATCTAGTAGCTAGTGATGCTATTGGCATGGGTCTCAATCTGTGAGTGGCGCCAGGCCCTAGTTTTATTTGACATAGACTGACTTTTGTAGTGCCATCAAGCGTGTCATCTTTGAGTCGACCATGAAGACTGATGGAATAAACTATCACAGTCTACAAATCTCGGATCTCAAACAGATTGCTGGTCGCGCAGGTCGCTACAAGACGGCTCACCAAGCAGTCAACGCAGACTCGAAACAAGTTTCGGTTGCTGACGGTGTCATTGATCCCGTCATAGGTTTAGACGACAAACATTCTAATGCAGATGAAATAAAGGCACCCGAGTCGAAAACAGTTGGATGGGTCACGACGCTTGAGCACGAAGATCATAAATACTTGAAATCAGGTATGGCGAAGGAGCCTGAAGAAATCAAAGCGGCGGGCCTCTTTCCTCCTTCTCAGATTGTGGAGCGGTTCGCAAACTACTTTCCACCGGGCACGCCTTTCAGTTACATCATGTTACGCCTACACGATATCTCAAACATACACCCCCGCTTTTACCTCTGCACTCTCAAAGACCAACTAGCAATTGCAGACGTCATCCACACAGTCAAGAACCTTGGCATTCAAGACCGCATTACCGTCTGTGCTGCACCGATCAACATGCGCTCTGCCCCAGAGCGAAACTTCTTGCGCAGGCTCGCCGAGTGCATAGCTGAGGGCAAGTCAGGGAATCTGCTAGATATCGAGTGTTTACCGCTCAATATCATGGATCAGCCGTCTTCTGGTGATCGGGAGTATTTATACAGGCTCGAGCAGTTGCACAAGATGATTGTGTGTTACCTGTGGCTAAGCTACCGCTTCCCCAATGTCTTCACCACCAGGACCCTTGCAAACTACACCAAGAAGCTAGTGGAAGACCAGATTGAGAATACGCTCTCAGAGTTCTCATTTACTGAACAAGTTCGATTGAAGCAAAAGAAATCAAGAGATCAGGCGAGAAAACAGATGGAATTGGACGCTGAGGATGCAGCCGTCCAAGTCGAAGGCGATCAAAGCCACACATCTCTCACGGTAGAGCAGGAGAGTGGTGCTGGCAAATTCTCGGACGAGGCCGGTGAATTATTGAAGGGCTAGAACCTGCATTCGATGAAGCGAAACGAAGCCACGCAATCCGAAACTTGGACGGTGACGCTATACGATGACACTTGTATATTATCTAATGATATATCCCTCGAGCCTTTTTTTGTACATATACTAGATGGGAGTACTGAGGCTTTGGTCATTTTCTGACGTTATCAAGACGCATCATGGTGTTGAATCTGTATCACTACGAAATCAAACTTCGCCGCTTGTGCGTTCAAAAAGATAGAAATTTGAGAATCTTTCTTCCATTATGCCTGCGTGTCGGAATGTTTTTATAAGGTGCTGTGCCTTCGAGCTGTCCTCGTATACCTTGTTGTCAGCTTCAGGCAGCCTCGTTGCCTACTTAGTGTAGGCAGCCTTGCCGCCCACCTGAGCAGCCTCGTTGCCTGATACTTGAATAGCCTTGTTGCTTGACCGGTCGTCAGCCACGAAACTCCCCCCAACTTAGGTTACAATATCATAACATATCAAGCCTTGACACATATTCAGGCGGAATGCGTGCCTTTCCAAGCTACAGTCTGAAGTCATGGTATAAGATGCAGCTTTCCAGGCAGTAAGGCGAGCTCCTCGCAACTCTCAATACCATTTCCCCACTATTGAAAGCTGCACCTTGAATCCACCATGGCACCAAGCAAGGTTGGTAGTGGTATCTTACTCCAATGCATATGAACCACTGACCACCACATAGTCAGATATCCAAATTGGCTGGTTTGTTACGGTGACAGGCGTCAGCGTATCATCTGGCGAACACATTGTGCTGAAGGTGCCAAACACTCTTATTGGCGAATCTCAGTGGATGATTGAAGGAGGAGTAAATGTCTACTGGGAAAATATTCAATCATGGCGTCCGCCCAATATGTCGCGGGAACGCTATATTGGGCAGTAAGAGTAAGCAATTAGAGGGGTAGCCAGGCCCAGAGTTTGGGTGTATGGGATCATGATGTACGTCATAATCAGGTTACGGCTCGGGGCAGACTACTCGGAATACGAATAGCATACCCGTACTTCGGACCGAAGTCGATGCCAATCCGCATACGTATGTACACAATTACAAGTAGATGCATGCACGTGAAATCAAAACGGTGTTTGAAAAAGCCCATACATGGGTAGGAAAGGCTCGAGCGGTTGGCGCAAGGGGTTAGCTTAGATCAGCCCTACCAACAAGATTAGTAAATCTCCCGGCGCTTCCGCACAGGGACCATGACCGACGACCCTCTTCCCACAACATTCAACGCCACGCCCATGTGCACACCGTGACGCAGTCTCAACACAGCATACATAGCCTTCCAACCTTTGACACAAACGTAGAGGCTCGCTCTGCACCCAAACGCCATGATGATGGTGCCTGCTCATATTCTCGAGATTCCGCGGCCCAAGGTAGGTCGAGAAACACAGCCTGCCGGAGAAATCTGGGCAGTACGCTACATCATGGAAGAGAGGCTAACCTATGCCCACAGACATTTCTCCAGAAAATGTCGCTGCGCACCGGAGCTGAAATCATTACTTTCCTCCAAGTCATCAACAAAGCATCGGGCGTCTACGGCCTCCTGGCGCTCCTCACCGGGGCCAAAATCGATGGCTGGCAACTGTCCATGTACCTGTACTCGACCTTTGCGCTGCTCGCCACAACATACCTCTACAAGCACATTCGGTTACAGAGCCCCTTTGAGTCTGTCCTGCTTGCGCATCTGTACGCGCTCGACTCAGTCATCAACGCGCTCTACACAGCCTTCTTCGGCATCGCTTGGTTCTACGCGCTTGCCGCGCACCCGGACGAAAATGCCGGACTATCACCTGGAATGAAGGACAACGCGGGCTTCACAAGCCCCAAGCACAATGTCTCAGAAGTCGACATTATTGCCGAGCCAAACAAGGGCATGCAAGCCGGTCAACACGCCATCGCAGTCGGACAAGGCAGCGAGGGCGGTGCAGGCCTTGGCAATGCCGTCTTCCAAAGCGGCAGCATCATGAGCATCTCTCTCATCTCTGGTTTCTGGGCTCTGCGCGTCTACTTTGTCTTCATCATGCTGGCTTTTGCGCGCCAGTGCCTCCGTCAACACATGGCCGCCAACGCTTCCTCTGCTGCGTGGTACAACTCCAACGATATGCAAACCTCTGCGAATGACCTTGCCGAGAACCCGTTCGCGGAAGACAAGGAAGAGGGCAAAGGCTGGAAAGGCCAGGTTGGTCGGGCTATGCTTAGCGGTGCACCCAAGTACTGGCTTGGTGTCGATGAGGGCGAGGATTGGATGCGTGGGGTTGGTGGCAGGTTCAGGAAGCCCACCCAACTTGATCAGCCCGTGGGCTTCAACGAGCGAGAGAGGAGACGTAGATCCGGGACTGGCCCACCTGTGCCGCAGCTAAAGATGTTGAACCCCGAGTTGCCCAAGTAGATTTCTGTGACGAGGCAGACACGGCGGCTTGGTGGGTACGGCAAAGGAGATGATTGACGAAGGAAGCGAAGTGGTAATGACCTGGCTCCGGGGAAGCGCCTTGGGGGATCAAAGCGTATTTGTACTATACCTATTACCTATTAATGTTTTTTGGCGTACATGGGACGTGGCAATGCACAAGGCAGCGACTTGTCGGGTTTTGCTACCTACACGTAGCAGTGCGTGCCGGCAAAGTCGGATCTGGTGCTGAGCTCGTCACGCCTTGGGTAGAAGCCGTCGTCTTGTCTCCGTATTTTTGTTTCCACGCCACACTGTCCTGGCCCGATTTAGCAGACCGGCAAACGCATGTAGTCAGGGCAATTGCGGCCGAGTCTCGTGGCGTTGCGTGGCCGAGGCAGGCCTTTGTCGACCACTCAGCATGCTGTCAAAGGCTGTCTAAGGCTGTCTAAGCCCCGCTTGGCTAGTTGACGCGCATCAGGTGAATGGCCGCCTGTCTCACCCTCACCGCCGGCCTGCATTTTGGACCCTGACATCCACAGCGCCGCCGAACCGTTGGGCAAGCATGTGCCGGCCTTGGGTGATGCGTAGTGGGTTGCCGCACGCGTGTGCCACTGTCACACATCCGTCCAGAGACGGCCTGGATGACCTGTCATACATGGCCTGTTTGAAGTCTCGAGCCGCACTGATAAGGGGGTCCTCTGGCTGCACTTCAGTAGCTCTTGGATAGGGCTTGCTAACTACCGGCTTTTTCTCCTGCCAATCTTACGTTTTTTGCTTCGAGATACTTTGGCTTAACGTTGACTCCTGACTAAATTCTGCAGCCGCCTCTAAAACCTTTTTTCCAAACTTGTTATATTCCGACATTAATATCCACATCCTTCTTTCTCCTTCTCGACACTACCGTAAACAACAAAAAAGAAAGAAGAGCGGATTTAGCAAGAGAAGGACTACAGTCTTCTAGAATGGGCTTCTTTCGTCGATCACTTAGCTTTGGCTCCTCGCGTTCGCGCCCACCAACCGACGACTCGGCATCCGATACCGCTAGCTCGAGGACGAGCATAGATTCTGTTTTTGACAATGAAATATCACACTCGCTGGCCACCATCACTAAACAACCGCAAAAGGCACCGATTCTCACCCTTCCGGTCGAACTAATCCAGCAAGTCAGTACTTATCTCGACACTGCCTCTGCAGCATCCTTTTGCCTCTCCAGCCGCTTTGTTTACTACGCTCTCGGCACCAACGTGCTATCAGCTCACGTCGAGGGAAGCAAGAACCGGTTCGAGAAGCGGCGAATTATCGAGGCCGTTGTTGAACGAGCATTTCCCGGCCACTGGTTCTGCGGCTGGTGCGATAAATTCCATTCATGGAGCGCAAAAGACGGACCAAAGACCCCAGCCCGAGGAAGACGACGAGACTGCGCCGACTTCAATAGCTACCTCTACTCTGGCAGTGACTACGTTCTCCGCTATCACCACGTCCGGCTCGCTATCAACGCCTCCCTCCGCGGACCCGAACACGGTATCCCACTCTCGGCCTTCACCCACGAGCAGCGAGGCATGGCCAAGATTTTCAAAACCCCCGTGCCCACCAAACTTCAAATATCAGCAAAGATATCCGGAGGCCGTTTTCTGTTACACTCCTCCTTTGCTATTATCCTGCCTTCCTTCGCAAAGGGCAACCGCAATCTCCTCAGCACTCTTTGGCCCCTCCTCCCCCACATCCTCTCGGGCCACCACGACAGTGAGAACGGGCACACAGGCCTCATGGCCGCCGTCGATAACGTTGTGCGCCGCGGGTGGAAGTATCAATTCACGCAAAACTGCAGCATGTGCGCTACTGACTGGGCGGTTAGCGCCCAAGAGTTCCCCCACACGACAGGCGGTCAGATGCGCCTTGTTGTCCAGACCTGGCGCGATCTGGGCACCGCGCGGACGCCCTTTGAAACCAGCTGGCGCGCCCATGGTGTGTGTACTGCCAAGGGCTGGAAGAACAATGGCGCGGCTGCTGCGACGTGCTTGCTGAGGATGGCGTCGTTGCAGGCTGGTGCTATTCGGCGGGCGTTTGAGAGTGAGGAGGCGAATGGCGAGGCGGGTAGTGGTGGGAAAGTTGCGCAGAAGAGTTCATCGGGGGCACGTATTTATCGTTCTTTTATGAGGAAGAACACAGTGGAGGAAGGGGAAGAGGACGACGCGACTATTGTTCGACGGTCGAGTGCGAGACCCAGGTACTGGAGGACTGCCGAGGAGAATGCAGAGGTGGCGCGCAGGTATGATGAGGAGCGGAGGGATGCAGTGACGAGTGCGGCTGAGAATATGGCTAGAATGACTGCTCAACCTGGGAGGACGTTGGTCTAAATGGCGGAGTATTCTTTCTTTTTTTCTTGTTCTTTTTTTTTCTCTGCGCACTCGCGCCCATTGATCTGCATAGGCGTTTTGTTTTCTTTTAGATTTCTCTCTCTCCCCCCCTCCCCCCCCTCGTCGAAGCGTTCTTAGCGAGTACATACATGGTTGGCCGGGTGTTTATAAAGTAGACCGGCGCGCAAAACGTTTAACGCCCAACATAGATAGATCTTCACACGAAATCACATTCTCAACTTCACGAATCAAAAAGGAGACGCTTCATATATATTTTTTGGACTGAATGCAAATTTTCATTTGTCTACTTTGTATGCACACATTTCTAGTAGTTTCCCCCTCCACCCCACTTTCCACTACTCAACAAACAAAAAGTATATACAATTTCCGAGATGTCGAAGCGAAAGTATCGAACAGGAAGAAGAAGAAGAAGAAGGTCTACCTACACCTCTCCCATTGAGATCAAGAAGACAAAGTACAGAGTCTACCATCCACAACAGGCGCGCTCAGCGAAAGAGAAAGCGCTTATGCGGGCTGAGCAAAAGTGGAACCAATAGGACCAAACTTGATGTTGGAGAAGACAACCGTAGCATCGGGCGAGTTCTTCTCGACATCCTCTGGCTTACCAGAGGTAGTAGGGCAGGAACCACGGGCGGCACCGGGCTTGGATGGGTCAGCATCGGTGGGGTAGGTAGAGTCGAGCCAGAGCATGTTGACCGCGTGGTCGTCCCAGAGCGACATGACGAGGACGTGGCCGCGAGCAAGCGACGCACCCATCTCGTTGAGACCGCCGAGGGTGGCGAATGACGATGTGTCGCCAAAGGCCTTCTTCTGTGCGGTACAGAAGCTCTCGGTGATGGAGTTGCCGGTGACGCCTGCAACGGCCGACTGGGAGTTCTTGTAGACCTTGCCGTTCTGTACATAGAAACGCTTGATCTCGGAGAGCTTGGAGCCGGAGCCGAGGAACTGGGTGATGACGGTCATCTTCTTGGTGGTGTCGAGGGTGGCTCCCGGGCCGTAGAAGTCCTTGACGCCCATGCGGTAGCTGTTGAAGTCGCATCCGTCCTTGTCGCACCGGCCGTCGTAGCGGTTGGAGCCGTCACCGCAGCTCGCGGCGTCGGAGCACTCCTGGAGACCTACGCCCTTGCAAGGGTGAGGGGTGTAGGCAGTCGAGATGGAGTTGGCCTCCCAGATATCCATTTCAGGGCAGCAGGCACCGATCTTACCGGCGCCACCGTTGGGGTCGGCAGCAGAGGGGTTCCAGCCCTCGACGTTGGCCTTTCCGTTGATGAACTTGATGTCGTGAGGGCACTGGGAGTCGCAGTATCCAGTTCCGTACTTGGCACCAGCCTTGTTGTTGCCCTTGCCGATGCCACCGTCGGCGGCCATCTCGACGAAGTAGAGAGCACCGTTCAGACCGCAAGGAAGCTTAGAGACATCGACATCAAAGGTGAATTCCTTGTTAATGAGGTTGAACATCTGGTACTTGGTGTCCGACTCCATGAGGTAGGTACGCGAACCAATGTTGCTAGAGAAGGAGCCCTTGGTGACGAACTTGAGGGAGAGGGCGTTGTTGCTGGTAGTGATACCATAAGTGCCTGGATATGTTAGAACAGGTTTCCCTCCTTTTTCCATTTAGTCGAGAAAACTTACCAGAGTAGTCAGCACCGTCAATGGCGCAGTTCTTGGTGCAAGAGTCACCGTCAGCGCAGTACTGGGTGCTCCAGCTGTTGCCAGTGTAACAGTTGGTGTATCCGCCAACGTTGTGGGCCCATCGCCAGTTAGAGTCGAGCACAACAGAACCAGACTTGTTGGAGCAGTTGGTGCCACCGGTACCCGTGCAGGTTTGCCAGGTCAGCTTGGGGTGGTTCTCAGCAGTGCTGGTGCCAACCTGCTGAGCGCGGGCGGCTCCATAGAGCGAAAGAGAGGCGAAGGCGAGTGTCCTGTACATGTTGACTGGCTTGAGTAAAGAGTCTGCTGCTGGATATCGAACATCTCTGCGTGTTGGGGACTCCTCCTTTTATACCAAGAAAACCTCTGCTGTTCTTGAGTACTATCGGTGGTACTTTGGAAAAAGTACCTACGTGACCCCCTTGGGCGTTGCAGGCTGCAGGAGATCTGCATCCTAAGGCCCTCCTGCAGAGCGTTCTCACCAATACCACAAGTAAAGCGGGACGTCGGGAATGTAGAACGTTGCTAGAAGTGCCAAACTAATGAAGAGTAGATGAAGCATCCTTGGCTGCTTCCTGCCCGTGGGGTATTCCGGGGTACTGTGGAGATCTCTACGCCACAGGAACCAGTGCCTTGCCTCAAGCAGAAAGTGGATGGGTGGGGAATAATACGAAGCTTTAGAGCACTATGCACTATGGCTAGCCAATATCATTGGCAATATAATGTCTTAGCCTTGGATGTTATTCGACAGCAAACAGCTAGCCTCATATGTATGGAGGCGAAGGTGTGGATCGGCGTTGGCAGCTCCATCATTGTCTTCGCCCATACACCTTGCCGCTGTGTCACGCGTTGTTTTATGGATAAAGACGGAGCGTGTTTGTATATTGTCACAACTGCATGTGGTTTCTGAATGTCAATCACAGTGTAAGATCTCTCATGTAGAAGATCTCTGCATCACTGCTGTAGCGCCCGGTATCCGGTTTAGTGGTTTTGAAACCTGGTTAAGATATATTGCATGGCCAACAACATGTGAGCACATATGAGCATGTCTTCTAGAAAAGAGGTGGTCGGCCCGATTTGGGAGGTTAATCTACAGTACAGTACTGTCAAGGTCATGAGGCTTACCAGCTTATACGGGTATCGGTATTGACCAAGACAGCAAGGTTTCTTCTTTGGCTCGCTTCGCTTGTAGCGGCGTAAGCATGGTACGATGGCAAAGACTGGTGTTTGGATGCAACGAGGATTCTCTGCAGGGAACGCAGAGTTAACTTGACAAACCTTGTCCAAGGAATCTATCGATACGCATGTATGCTCAGTGAATCTCCTAATATGTACACATTAAGAACACCACCTGGTAGCGAAGCCAAGGTGGATACTGAGAGAACCAGGTCAAATGACCTTTGACTGTGGGTTTCAGGAACACGTTAGGAGGAGCATGTAGCCAAGTTGAAATGTTCCGGGATAAACGGGACGAGACTCCTCTAAAAAATTGGCTGTGCCCTGTTCAAAGCTTCGTGCGAGTGGCCCGAGTCTTCGCAAGAAGGCATCGACCCGAATCCTCGGTTAGTCTTCTGTGCTGGATAGATTGGTGTCCAGGGATGTTGGCTCGCCAAGACCGGGGGTTCGCTTCGAATTTGTCCGCTTCGTCGGCCTTTGACGTGTGAACTGGCGAGGTACCGATTCGGAAACAGTTGATACGGTTAGTCCAGATTTGAGCCCCTCAATATTTGCCGTGCTATATGACGAGGTTGCAGACAGTTGAAAGTTAAAATCTTACCCTGTGGACCCGGCGTTCAGTTCAGCCTAATCAATCAACAACGGGCCAATCTAAGTTCCAACCACTCAAGACGAACTGTACGCCTGCACTCTGACGATCAGCAGTGTACAGCGACGTGATTCCCGGTGGGCGGCAATTGTTCCTGGGCCGGCGCGTAAGGTTTCTTATGTGCGAAATATCGCAGTCGGGTGTAAACCGCTGAGCCGCAATTATTAGTACACGACCAACGAATGGGTCGATGAGCTGTTCGATTAGATAATGCGCTCAAAAGTCTTCTGGTAGAGATATCAAGCAGTCACAGATTACATGCCATATCTTTTGAAGATTATAGTATCTGGTACAATACCAGCACAACATCTTATCTGTTAGTTCCCTTGCCAGGCACTGTCAGTCGGACAATGGCGCACAAGTTCATCTGAGAAGAGATTGCAGCGCTTTTGCCAAAAAGGGTGAAATAGAATCTGAAATGAGCCCACATATAGGAAGGTGGTAGGTATGAATAAGATCGCGAGATAAGACAGGTACTCAGGAAGGAGACCAGATTCTACCCGCCTGAAGGACCGGCCTAGTTTCTGCTGTTGAAATTTGGCGATATTCCCGTGACAGGAACTCCACCAGTGCCCCGCTTCGTGCCTGTTTCCTGTAATGAATTTTTCTGTCTTGATGCTCTCCGCATCCTCTTGGTACCTTTTGGGAGCGGAGACACGATCCTTTCCCTGTGTAGCAGGTCTTACTACGTCCTTCCTCCCGATAACTTACTCAGCTGTAGTGAAGCTGCCTCTACGAGAGAGGGCCACAGTTAAGATCCTGTAGAAGCCCTATCATTGAACTGCAACTGTAGGATGATACGCCGTATTCTTGCTTAAAAAAAGGATGGACTATTCCGTTCTCAAACCACCACCAGGTTTGACCTCGAAAGCCACAGCTTAACAACAGTATGATTATTGAGGTCCGTTGACTTTCAACTCAACAGGGTGTCGTGTGCTTGAAAGTTCGATCAGTTGTCCTTCAGTATCTTTTTCGTGGTACTACTGCAAGTGCGAGTGACTATTGCTCTCTCCGTCCATTTCGACAGCAGCTTTGTCCATCCGTCTAGATCTTCCTCTACTTCTCCATAAGTAAATCGCTACGATGATGAGTGCAATTCAAATGACCGGCCCAATAACGGCGCCGGCTATCCATGCCTTATTTTGTCGTTCAGGTTCAGGGTTAGGAGTAGCTTCCATCACCTCCAGCCTACTGGTAGATACGCCGGTTGGTGATGATGCCGATACTACTAGGGTCGTTGTTGACACGAATTCTGTTGGGGTCACGCTCAGAGCTGCGGTTGGTGTTGCGGATATAAGGGTGCTCAATGATGTTGTCGCTAGCAATTCCCGGTAGATAGTGTAAGCTTTTCAGTTTATACGGCAGCCATAGTTAACCACAGATGGGTGTCAAGCTGAAGAGGTCGCATAGATCGTAGCCTGAACACATGGCACTTCTCCTCTGCTGACATGTGTTAGTACGAGTGAGCGTATTGAGAGCCATAGTGCTCACCAAGGCCACACCGAACCATCATCAAGGTACAACTTGTTATCTGAACATTTTGTCGCTAATGCACAGCGACCACTGGTGTTACAGTCACCTGAATAGGTCCCAGAAGTGATCTAAGCATCACCTGCCAACAGTGGCTCGACTAGAACAAGTTGAATTATGCGTATCCAACACGAAGACGCGAACGAAACGTACTAGAATCAAGAGCGATGTAGTAACCAATGAACCTTGAGTTCCATTTCGAAG